TTTGTGGTAAAAGTGGATGTGTGTAACGTCCAGAAGGAATCGTTTCCGACCCCATAAAGTATATAAATTCTTGAACAGCATCAATAGCCGAGTCGATTGAGCCCTGTCTGTCTGTCCGTCTGTCCGTCCGTCCGTCCGTCCGTCCGTCCGTCCGTCCCCTTCAGCGCCTAGTGCTCAAAGACTATAAGAGCTAGAGCAACGATGTTTTGGATCCAGACTTCTATGATATGTCACTGCTACAAAAATATGTCAAAACTTCACCCCGCCCACTTCCGCCCCCCCAAAGGACGCAAATCTGTGGCATCCACATTTTTAAAGATACGATAAAACCAAAAACGCAGAATCGTAGAGGATGACCATATCTTCTAGAGTGTAAAATCTCAACCAAACAATTTCATTTTTTCTCGCTCTGTCTCTCTCTAACACACAGGTTTCATGGTCGGTTTTGCCAATTGCAAAATATGAGTTCAAGGATCTCAGAACCTATAAGAGCCAGAGCAACAAAATTTGGTGACCACACTCCTGTGATATCGGACCTTGACCGTTTCGTGTCCAAATTTCGCCACACCCCCTTCCGCCCCCGCAAAGGACAAAAATCTGGGGCATCCACAAATCTCTGAGACTATTAAGGCTAGAGTAACCAAATTTAGTATCCGCACTCCTGTTAGATCTCACTATAAAACGTATTTCTCAGAATTTCGCCCCACCTCCTTCCGCCCCACAAAGGACGAAAATCTGTTGCATCCACAAATTGCAGATACGAGAAAACTGAAAACGCACAATCATATAGTATAACCATATCTATCAGATTGCTGAATCTGGATCAGATCGGATCATTTTTATAGCCAAAAGGAACAAATCAATTTGCACTGGCTACGCAGCGCCCGACGTCACGCTCAGACTGATTTTCTGTCTCTCTCGCACGCACTCTTTGTCGTGTCGTTTAATATTAGCGGCGTCTGCCGGAGGAGAGCCATACTGACTTAGTATCGGGTATAACTGCAGAGTTGCGGTGTCCGCAGCAACTCCCAACGTTCCCCCTCGTTTATTTATGTAGACGAATAACATATGCCATGGTAAAAACACAGTACAACATCAACTGTCCAGAAATGCAAAGTTCTGGCAGTCGCTGCAATTCCAATAGACAATAGAAAAAACATGTAACTACATATGTACATACATATGTACGAAAAATAAACAATACAAATAAAAAGAGCTTCCCTTGCGATCCTCAATGTAACAAAAAGTCATTCTTTGGGTCCAATTGGATCTCGAAAGAATGTCTGCCGCTTTTGAATTAGCGTTACAATTGTATTTAAAATGTAATCGAAAGTCTCCACCTGCATTCTAGCGTATTCGGCAAACTTTATTGGGAACCTTCGGGGCTGCTCACATATGGTGAAATTCTCCAAGAATCGGACGATCTCGAAGAATCTCTCTGCGAATTTTCCTTTTCTTCATTTGCACATTTTTGCACAGCAACAATTTATGTTACCTTTAAAGAAAGAGAAAGAGAGAGTCGGGAAATGGCACTTGGTTCAAACAACTAAATATATTTATTGGATTTGCCCTCATTGCCAAAAAAAAAAGTGATTGCCCCTACAAAATACTAAAAAGAGAATACAGAATACTGAAGAGAAGAATCTTTGTGGCATTGGTTGATTTTTTTGTTTTTATATGAAAAAATATAAAGTGACTAAGATTTAAATAAAATAATGATAAACTCTGTTAGATAAATATTTAGTTTACCCCATCCTATCGAAAAACGATTGAATTCGTTGTAAAATAACCACCAAAAACGAGCTTGAATACAGAGGATAACTAGAGACGCATACTTTAGTGACTGACTGTCCAAATACGAGAGCAACAGTATAACATCGAAAATGGTTTTTTTGTTTTTGAAAAAAATAAAAAAAATACTCTCCAGGCAGATGAAAACCCATTTGATCCCTAATGCCAACTTCCGTGAAATGGCAATTTACTTATTGTACTCAGAGGAACGCGAGAAGCTCGACAATTGGCTCCAGACATGGGACATCAAACTCGACTACCGCACTCGTCACCAGTTCCGGGATGCCATGCCCGTTGCCAGACTCGTGGACAAGATACACAAGAATCTTGTGGATCTCAGCATATACCGAGCCTGCACCAGCGTGCCAATGATGCAGAAAAACTGGAAAATATTCAAAATTCACGTTTTGAATGGACTGAAGATAGGCCTAACCGCTGTGGATCAAAAACAGCTGGCACTGGGCACCGAGGGAGCAATTGATCAACTTCTCTTTTTTGTAATGTACAGCCAGAACGAACACCTTTGAATTGGGGTTCGTCCATTCGAAACAATAAACTACTAGTGGGAATTACTTGAATGAATTCGGCCATTTGTAGATACATCTACATTTTGTATTTGTATTTCACATTACAGGAGGCACTAAGTATTTTTGAGACTATTTGGTATAACACTAATTACTTTTACAAACTTTGATGCGGCAATAGCCGCTGCGGATTGCTCAAATGCTCCCACATCAGCATAGATTTTAATTGCAAAGCTTACTGTATCAGAAAATAGCTTTACAAATATGTGCGTTTGTGGCTTATTGATTTTCGTTTGCAGATTATTCCACGAACGTTGAGACCCACCTTGGTACACCTTTCATATAATCTATTAATAATTTTGTTCAATTTCTCCACCTGTTTTGTGTGGGAAAGTAAATGCAATTCCAAATATAAATTCTCATTGAGACCTTCTCTCATCATAAACGAGACCGCTTTTGTTGCTACATGTGGATCAATACGGTCCTTAGCCGAAAGATCATCTCCTAGATCAGTGAGCCCACAAGCCTTCTCAAGCTGGGGTCTTTTATTAAAAATTACACAATTACTGTCGATCTGATTCATGTTTTTGATCACTTTCGATAAATGTTTCAAATGGTCGTCTTTAAAATCCGGTACGAATCTTTTGAGTGGCAACCTTCAATATTATTCGCTATTCGCCGTGCCCACTGTACCAAATCATTGTTTTACCGCTTAAGCTTACGTGCGACAGCTGCCGTTCTTTCGCCTCCCTACCCTTCTTCTTCGTTCCTGCAGATCTCCCCCGTTCCATCTATGTATCTTTCGTTCTTAGCTTAGCTGTAACCCGAGCTGCACTAGCGCTCCCCTACTATCGCTCTATTTCGTTCTCTTACTTTCATTAGGTCCGCTTGCCCCTGATCAGACTTTCGCTGATCCGTGATGCCCGTGATCGTGCCGTGGGTCGGCTGGGAATTAAAAAGTCTAATTTCGGTTTTCAAAAAGACAAAAATGACTAATATTATTATGTTATTATTATTATATATTATTATAGTATTACAAAAAATCGAACTATTTTTTTAGTTTACAAGGCGTTGAAACTTTTCGAACCAATGTACATACAATCTACAATGTATATATATGTATATTTTCTTCTTTCTCATCTTATTTCGTATTCTGTTTTCCTACTTTCTATATTTCTTCGCAATATTAATTTTTTTTTCAAAAACTTAGTTTTTGAGTAAAAGTAATGGTTTTTGATCAATTTCCTTATATTCAATTCAATAAAATAAAATAATAATTAATAATAATATTCCATACTGAATGTTTTAGCAATTATCTAAACATTCATTCGGTTAAAAAGAATATAAGTGAAACCAGAGTGTAACTGAACTTGAGTGAAATTTTGACCACTTTTGAGTAGAAGAAGATACTTTTTCAGTTCTGCCAGGTGTATATTGGCGGGAGTAAGGGCTCGCGCATACTGTAGCTGAAATCGGAGCTGAAAGCTGAAAAAGCTTGCTGAAATCAGCTCAGCTTAGTTTGATCGATCAAGCATGTTTGTTTTTTCAGCAAGCTGATTTTGTTCAAGTGTATTGGTTCATAAGTGATCGAAAATGGGCAAAACATTGTTAAGCGAAATTACGGTGGGGAGTAAGCGGGTTTATTAAAAATATTTGAATAATTGTTTTATTTCAATTGGGCAAAAAAGTTGTATTATTTATATTATTCATACGTCAATAATAAATATAATAAAAAAAATATTACAGTAAACGCTCGAAAGACATCATAATGTTTATTATTGTACAAAATAAATAATAATTGAAAAATGTAATAATAATTCGTAAAATAAAAGTAATACGAATACAAACTCAACGGAAATGTGGTTAAAATACACGGAATTTATAAAAAAATCGAAGAAAACTTCCGTCTGGCTACTGTACGTGCTGTGAAGTAATAATTAATTAACAATATAATAATAATAATTATAATGATATTTATTGATGCCACTTAAGGAGATAGACAATGGGAGTCAGTGGCTTTCAGCAATCAGATCATAAAAGCATTAAATATCATTACAACATTATTGTCATTTTGTTTTGGTATATCATCGAATCTCTTTATTGATTATTAATTGTGTTGATCACCAGTGTTTCATTTGTAATCAATTGTTTAAAATAAGTACAATATCGCAACGTAATAACGGACTCGTGCAAGCAATTTGTTATTGCTCTTATCTAGTCTGCTTTTGATCATCGTTTCTTCGGTGTGCTCTGTTCTCACGCATCAGTGTTTCAATCGCCTACGCTCTCTCTTGAAAGCAAAAGCGGGCCTGCTGCTCGCATTTTAAATTCCTCATTCTCCAACTCCATAGAATTTTTTGCTGTCAAAATAATGCGTTCGATCTTGCGCTTCATTTAATATTCTGCATTTATGGCCTCGCGTTTTTCCATTTCCATTTCTGCGGCGGAACTGCCAAACGCTCGTTCTTTTCTTATTTGCGTGCCAGCCTGTGACGAAAGTCATGAACGAAGATTATCGATCGCTCGTTCTCTTTCGTAGTGACCAGACGTGTTTCTGTTTTGCGCTCCGCTTCGTTTCCTTTTATTTTGCAGTTACAGCCGGTGTTTTTCAAAATAAACCTTTAGTAAAATCCCAATTAACGTACAATAAAAAAAAAAATCTGTTCTTTAACGCATGCCTACTGTTTTCATAAAAACTTAATTTGATATTTATTCTGTGCGTTGGTTATTCGTGTGTTTGTGTGTTGCTTTCCGTAAGTAAGCTCACGCTAAGTTTTGCACGCTCTTATACCGTAAACTTTGCTTTAGCTATCACTCTCATTATCCAAACCCAACTGTTTTTTTTCTCTTGCTTTTTAAACTTTTTGAGCAATAGCGCTCTCTGCTTAGTAGCTCTCGCTATAACCTCTCTCCTCCCTGCTCTCTTTTTACACTAATTCCGCTGTGAGCGTTGTCTGGCACATTGGTCTGATACTAATTTGTTTTGAAATTTTCGTTGCAAATTTTTAAATAAATAAATAATTAAAATGGAATTTGCTGTGGTCTGCGCCAAAAAAAAAAAACTTGTAAGAAGCAGATCAATGTGATCCAATGTGTTGTGAAATATTTTTAACGGAGTGCCACTGGGAAGTCATCTGGGCCCGCTTCTGTTTATTTTATTTGTGAATGACCTTCCTCAAGTTATAACATACTCTACTACTACTACACACGCCTTCAAATGGATCTAAATGAACTACTATTGTGGTGTTCAGCTGGTGGTGTATAAACCTTTTAGGCTTATATGTATATGCCACAACTATAACTCCTATTTGAACTTCTCTTCATTCCTTCTTTTGTAACTAAGTTTCATTATTAGCAGATATTTGTTAAATAAATAAATAAATAAATACAATGGAAAGCTGATTTCGGCGAAATTCGACGAACTGATTCGCTTTACTTTGTTTTAAATTCGGAAGAATCAATCGGGTAAAAGCAGATTAGCTAGAAAGTAAAGATGGCGCCATGAAACTGTTATACCCGCAGTAAATGTTTCTTCAAAATCTTGACTGAACATGTTTCTGCAGCATGCTGACAAAACATCTTCGATAAAATGCTTAAAGTTTGATGACAATGTTTAAAGCAAAACACTCATGTTAAAACAAAATTAAAACATAAACTATTATTTATGTTTAAAATATTTCTCAGCAACATTTTGATTATTGTTGTACGCAACTTGGTGAAGCAACACATGCTGCTGAATGAATGTTGCCAACGGGATGGAACATGCTGACAAAATATTTGTGATAGCACATGTTTGTTCGTAAACAAATTGTTTGTTTATTTAGTTTGGATATTTTTTTGAAATATATGTTGCAATGGGAGATTACAAAAATGTGTGTATTTTTTTTTAAATAGTAAATATTTTCTTTATATTTTAGAAACCCCATACAGGAGATCACTTTCCAGCGAGACGGTAACCCGAAGCACACGACTAAAATCATAACAAATCGTCCCAATAAATCAAGTTTTCATTTATTCCAGTGGCCTGCTCAATAGCCCAGATCTGAAGCTTATTGCTTAAAAAACATTGGAAGAGTACGAGTCTGTACCAATGGGATTGGATAAGTTTTCGGAGCGCGTGCAGTCGGAGCATGATACCATACCATGCAAGCACATACTAAATTTAGTCGAGAGTATATCAAAACTTATTCAGAATGTGATAGAAGCTAAGTCCCTTTGGACAATGTGTTAATAAAATTGATTAAAGCACAAAATTCCAAACGTGCAAAAGTTTGCACACGGACTTTTTTGAAAAAAATAAAATTTCGTAAGAAAACCGATCTCTTTGAATTGAAATTATTTTGTTTTTTTCTTTATCATTACATTAAAGAATCTATGCAAAAGAAAAAACAAGGATTGATTAATTTTTAAAGATTTTACAGGTTATAGATTTTACGCTTAAACTAAAAAAAGGCCTCGCCACCGTATATTGCATTGCGACAAAAGTTTGTGTTGGTTCTCATTTGTGTTGTTTCAAAATATTATGATGTTCTTTTTAATCCAAAAATATCGATATTACTCTATCATTACTGTACTTATTCAAAAGTAAATAAGAGCAAGTACAGCTTTTTCATAGTGCCAATGTAGAAATGTATTTGCCATTAGCGTATATTGACTGCCAGCTTCCAACAATTATAAAAATATAATCCACTATTTTTGTATCAACTGTGTGTCCAACAGACTATATTATTAAATTAAAGTTTGATCGGTGCAAAAGCTAAAATTTCTGCAGCTAGTGATTTCTACGATTTGCACGGTATTGAGCATGAGATGCATAGATGTGTAGTACTCACAATTCTATCCGAACCAAGTCTGAATGCTAATTAAAATATGCTAACAAAAATATAACACAAGTTGTTCTTTATATGATTGCTTATATGTATAGAGAACTCCAATCCAAGATATACTTGGAATGAAGCAGCACATTCGACGAATGAATGGGTAAATATTCATATAATTATAAGTGAATATAAACAATAACTCAGTGGCAGCAATCAACCCCGAGACAAAGAACCTAGCGGAAGAAATTGGGGTCCTTACTTTTGATTGAGGATGACCAGATCCTACGTAAATGAAAGTGTTCATGGCACAGAGATGTGGTAAGTGGAGGACAGACTAGCAGAGCCCTGTATCTGACTGAACCTGTACTCTGTGCGACAGTTCCGCGTATGTGGAGAGGCTCTGAGACGTCATTCAATTCTGATAGCATTCGTAGATTCTCTGACCTTGAACCAAATAGTTCGGTGAAGTCTTCTTATCAGCGAAGCCCGAATCTAAAACAGAGCGATCGTTTCATAACGCCTCTCCCAATGGGCTGGTCGCTGGCGATTGCGCTAGTGGATCAACATCAACCCATTCACAGTTTTACCGAAGCCACAATGCCAAAAGGCCAGAATGCACGGAAGAAAGAGAACCTGCTTCTTGGGATGCTCGGCTTCCTGGTACTCTTCTTGGATCAGTGGGGAGCAGTGGCTGGGATGCGATGCAAGGTGCCCTACGAGAAGGTGCAGGAGAAGTACTGCTACTTCATAGCCGACGAAGAGCCGCTGGTGAGTAGTGGTCCAGTTGTCCGTCTAGGGACTTCGATATGATTTGTCGAATATCAGCCTCTTTTCGCGGGATCTGCAGCACACCTCGTTCCACAACTTCTGCTACCAGGACAAAAAGACTTCGCGCGTCTGCCTAGACAGCGACGAAGAGATGCGAATCCTGGCGCGGCACCTCTACGAGATCGGCTTCCAGAACGGCACCCAGTTCTGGAGCGCCGGCCACCGCTGGCCCGGCGACATGCGCTTCTACTGGAACTATTTCGGCCGCGCCCGGGCTCTTAACTACTCGAACTGGGCTCCGGAAGAGCCCACTCCCCTCATGGGCCGTAACTGTCTGATTCTCACGCTACGGGCCGGAGAGCTGTTCATGAGCAGTGAGTCGTGCTACACCCGAGCCGTCGATATCTGCGAGCAGACGCTCAACACCGAAAGCGGGTCGCGAACGGTTATTCACTAATAGAAGACAGGCGTGGCAGTATCAGTCTTTCCAAATTCTCTTGCTTCCATTTTTAAAAGGTCTGTGCAACTACATGAAATCGATGAAATAAGTATTGTTTCAAATAACAGTTAGGCTCGAGGCATCAGATATTGGAAAATATTAAAGATCTTATTGCATACTTTCGTGTACGAGTCTCACTGGGAAAATGCTATCGCTGGAGTAAAAGAAAGGGGTAGACTACTAACAAATCGAGAGGGAACGTTGTGAAGTGGGGTTCGTATATATGACATGACGCCTTGAGAGAGTGAAATCAGTTGCTCACACGCTTTGGCAAGTGAACACCGACAGTCGGATGACTTAAAAAATGAGAATATTTTCAATTTTATGCCTTTGCCTGTTGGCGGTTTGGCAGAGTGAGGCCACGTTCGATCTGGTCGGCAAAGGGCTCTACTATATAGGCAATGAAGATGGCGTAAGTGGAATATAGAAAAGGGAATTCAAAGGCTTCACCTAAAATCGTTTCAATCGTTTCAGACTTTAAGAAACTGTGACTGGTTTCTTTCGAGAAGAGACTGCTGGAAGCACAACAGCCAGCTAGTGTCCGTGGAAACGATCGAGGAGTTAAAGGCGCTCGAGGACTACGCGCTGTCCAAGGGCTTCGCCGATGGCAGCACCTTTGCCACGTCAGGCCACAGCTTCGACAGTGAAATGCCCTACTCCTGGGAGGGCGTCAAGCAGCCGCTGACCTTCACCCGCTGGATGCCCGGTACGGAAAAGCCGCTGTCCAAAAGCTATCTCAGTCTGGTGCTGTCCAACTCGACATTGTATATGAGGAGATCTTTCGGGTACGACAACTACTATATCTGCGAGTATCAGCCAGCGCTTCTGCGTCTTTGGCTATCAATGAGCACAACGAACTGGATGGTACTGGCAGGTTCAGTGCTCATTTCCATTCGCTGCATGATATTTTTGTGCAGTCGAAAGACAAGAGCGAAGGCAAAAGTATCAAACAAAGAAAAGCTCATATCAACAGCAGATTCAGTATGACATGCACAATGTGCATTCATAAATGTTCATAAATAAAGCAGAAAAAACCAATTTTCTTTTTCTTTATTTGATGGTTGCCATGTTCGTAATAGGTTTTTAAATAATACAAATACATTGTTTAATCAAAAAAAAAAACGAGGGGGAACGTTGTGAGTTGCTGCGGACACCGCAACTCTACAGTTATACCCGATACTAAGTCAGTATGGCTCTCCTCCGGCAGACGCCGCTAATATTAAATGACACGACAAAGAGTGCGAGAGAGACAGAAAATCAGTCTGAGCGTGACGTCGCGCGCTGCGTAGCCACTTCAAAATGATTTCTTGCTTTTGGCTACAAAAATTATCCGATCTGATCCAGATTCAGCAACCGGATAGATATGGTCATTCTCTATGATTCTGCGTTTTTAGTTTAGATTGATATTTCCTGCAGATTAGGACTATCGTTTAAATTGAAAGCGAGGGCTGATATGAGACGCCGTCATACCCGATGCTCAATCAGTTGAATACTAATAGTAGTAAATTTCCGCAAAAAGGGACTTCCCCATACATTCAAGAAAGTCCCCTTCAGCGCCTAATGGTCAAAGACTATAAGAGCTAGAGCAACGATGTTTTGAGCCAGACTTCTGTGATATGTCACTGCTATAAAAATATTTCAAAACTTTGCCCCGCCCACTTCCGCCCCCACAAAGGGCGAAAATCTGTGGCATCCACAATTTTAAAGATACGAGAAAACCAAAAACGCAGAATCGTAGAGAATGACCATATCTTATAGACTGCAGAATCTGATTGAATCGTATTATTATTATAGCCAGCATCAAGAAAACAATTTCATTTTTTCTCGCACTGTCTCTCTCTAACACACACGTAGCATAGGCGGCTTTGCTTAGAGTAAAACATTAGCGCCTAGATCTCAGAGATTATAAAAGCTAGAGCAACCAAATTTGGTATCCACACTCCTAATATATCGGACCGAGACGAGTTTGTTTCAAAATTTCGCCACACCCCCTTCCGCCCCCGTAAAGGATGAAAATCTGGGGATATTCATAAATCTCAGAGACTATTAAGGCTAGAGTAACCAAATTTGGTATCCGCACTTCTGTTAGATCTCACTATAAAACGTATATCTCAAAATTTCGCCCCACCCCCTTCCGCCCACACAAAGGACGAAAATCTGTTGCATCCACAATATTGCAGATTCGAGTATGATTCGCAGAATCATAGAGAATGACCATATCTATCCGGTTGCTGAATCTGGATCAGATCGGATCATTTTTGAAGCCAAAAGCAAGAAATCAATTTGCAGTGGCTACGTAGCGCCCGACGTCTCGCTCAGACTGATTTTCTATCTCTCTCGCACTCTTTGTCGTGTCGTTTAATATTAGCGGCGTCTGCCGGAGGAGAGCCATACTGACTTAGTATCGGGTATAACTGTAGAGTTGCGGTGTCCGCAGCAACTCACAACGTTCCCCCTCGTTTAGTTTTAAATGTTTGATTAAAATTGAAATGTAACATAGTTTATTTGTGTCGAAATCTGTGGTGCTTAGTGATCTGTGCGTGAACAGTGAGCAAGTGAGCAACTGAGCAATCTAAGTGAGCAATGAGCAACTGAGCAATCTAGGTGAACAAGTGAACATGTTCCCCAAAATGAGCTATGTTTACCCAACACTACACTTGACCCGTTTGAAATCTCGTTTTAAGCAAAGTACTCGTATGGTATGTGCTATAGAGCTCGTCGCTATAATATAAAGTTCAGTATAAAAAATCTCGTATATTGTTTACTGGTTATTGAGTAATAACAACTAATTACGATAACCAACTGTTGGATATCTTTGCTCCGAGTCCTACTGAACTACCTCATCATTGCAGATTTATCGACGATCAACTTAGAAGAGCTGTATATAGGTGGTTCTATTAAGTTTATATATTGGTTATAATGTAAATATGTACACATATTATATATACATATTTTGTTATCGCTACGCGTTGCAACTATCAGTAGATTGTGGATGTACTCGTCAATAACATTTACTTACAGCCAGAACAAAGAATGTTTTTATAAGACTATACTCAGCGAAATTCGCCCATATAATATTCTACATAAATGATTGGATCATTGTTGGGAAAGGGTATAGAAACATTGCAATATTAAAACTATTTATATTCGTTTCTTTTCAACCGTTTTCCATAAGAACCGCAAAGCTGAATGAAGATAAGTTTTTAGCAAGAAATAATCAAATTCCCTCTGCACTCAAGCTTGGATGGTGCCGTTGAAAAGTATACGATTGCTAAAGCAGAAGAAATAACAAAAATAATTTAATTGATAGCCGAGTCAACAGCTGAGACCATATAACCAAGTCCATAGTCCCTACATTCGAAGATCTCAAACGATGGATCTGTAAGGGTATGCAAGAAGTTGACACAGAATCTGGACTTTCCTTCTGTTGAGCTGCTGAGTTACTCAGCAGAGTATTTTTGCGATCTATATCTGTATATATTAAAAGTCGATGACTGATCGGTTTAATACGGTTTATACTGAGTGATGGCATATGTATGTATACTGCGATATAGAGTCGGAAGGGATAGCGAAAACTATGACGAGAGCACAACGAGTCTGTTTGATCATTAGCTCGATTCAAAACGGTGTCGGATTTAAGAGCTATTCCCAATAAACGTGAAAGAAGTGAAAGAGTGCTAGGTCCAGACTAAATTTCACTAAAATGTGGTATAGTGGGCAGTGCAAAAATTAAACAATAATAGGGATTTGCTTTACTGCTTCACCACTGGCTACAATCTATGGATCGTTGCTAATATCGAGGTGCGTAACCCAACACCTTCATTATTTATTCGATTAATAGCTGATACATAAGGACTGTTGTTTATTCCAAATATTACCGATGAAACTACATCCTCCAAGTGTCGAATAGTTTTGAGACGCACTGTACTCCACTATTCTTAGTGCTCCAACACCTGTTCGACCAGCACGCTCTTTCCTTTGGAGAAACTTTTGTCGGTTGGACAGAATTTGTGCTATAATCAAACAAGAACTTAATTCAATAATTCAATGTTTCTCACTCTTTGCCTCCGGGCCCCTCCCTCTCCTTGTGGCTATCTCCGCTCTCTATACTTCCTGATTTCTCTGTCGCACGCCTGCAGTGCTGGAAGTGTCTGCCGTTCTGGCTTGTAATACAAATAAATTTCGACTAAACGCTTTTAAACAGTCACAGACAATGCGTCGTCGTGTCGTCTGGGAGCTCCAGGAGGCCGGGACAGGCAAGGCCGTCCCGCCCCAAACCGGAAGTGACGACAACACGACCGGCAATGGAGCCCATTCCGCCCACGATGGCTGCGGCAATTAACTCAAATTGATAATGACAACGAAAAGCTGTAGGCAACCTCTCCAGGAGGGGGTGATGGTGGTGCTTGTGGGGGTGCTGGTCCTGGGAGAAATCGTTGACGTGATTTCATTTTGAGTCCATGCAAAATGGCGACACATTTCGACACGTCCTTTGACAACGCCCTTTGGCATAATTAAAACGAAATAATTTTCGACAAGTTTGGTTTGCCTTTTTTTTCGTTCTCTGTATCCTTCTCCTGGCGGTAGCCTGGCCCTGGCCCTGGGCCTGGCTTACTCATCGACTCGGGGCACGTAGATTGAGTCTGTCATGTGGAGAGCGAAACTTGCTCCTCCGGAAGCTCTCTGGTTCCGGCTCTGCTATTGCTATCAGCGTTCATGTTGGAATTTTTATTTAATTTGCTTTTGCTGTCGTGGGGCTTTAGCTTCTTTTTCTTCCGAGCTCCTGTTTTGTTGTCTTCACAGTTTACTGCATTGTTTGAAATTAATTTCACTTGTCGTACATTGAACCATCACAAGGGTCTTCTCGAACCCCGAGCCGTACTTCTCTTTTGTCAAACGATGTGTGCGTGCCGTTGTCAATGCTGCTTAGCACTGCATACATATGTATGTATGTCTGAAGAGACAAAAGGACAAAAGGACTAAAGGGAGGTGCTTTCGATCTGAGAGAGTTGGCAAGTCAAACGCTGTTGAGGAAGCACAAATTCTGGCTTGGAGCTCCAATCGCTTGGCAATCAACGCGCTAATCATTTTGGCAGCCGACAGTGCACTTCCCGAACTGGCTAACTGACGGACTGAGTGACATTCCGGGATGCCAACAACTCGTCGTCCGGTCCCAGGCTGGGGCTGGGGCTAGGGCCTGTGGCAGTTCTGCCTACTGCACTTTTCTCCATTTTTACACCCAGCCACCGGCGAAGGCAGTTTGGGCCAACTGACAGCAACAGCTAACTTATGTGGCCAGAGCTCGTTTCAGAGCTAGGGATGGCAAAGAAGACGCCGATATTCAGCAGGATACGATGGACAGGACTTCGGTGAACAGACCAGGACCACGAACACATACATATATGAAAATTGTATCCAGTCAAGAGAGTTTTCAAGAAAATGCACTGTTTCCAACGATCAATGTCGTTTCCACTCCATATCAGTTTTTTTTTTACAGATAATACACGAATTTTCATTCGTACTTCTTTACTTGAAGACACTTTAGAGAGCCGCTGATCGCCATGTCTCAGGAACAACCACAATCTTAATTGAGGATAGTTTTAACATGTTTATTGATGTAGACTTTGTGAGCGACATCGGTATCTGATGAATTTTAAAATGGATGTTTCATCACGGATCCCCATCATCCCTGGACAGAGCTCGTGCCGGGTTGCATCCATCTGCGCCTCTCGCGCATTAATCACTGACAATAATGAACTTCCTGGAACTGCTGTTGTCATTAGCGCAATGTTGCAGAATTTATCGTGTGACTTATGAGAGAAACGACGTGGAACCCGGCCTGGTCCAGGCCCGGCCATCGTTCGTTCTGGCACAGTCTAGAGTCTAGACTGACTGACCGCTCTCTCTGGTCGTAAGTATTTGCAGGCTGGGGCTGTTTTTGTGTTAGCTTTTCTTATTTTTTGTGATTTTTATCGCTTCGATTTACGACTCATGAAAATGTTAGAGGAGATACTTTTATATGTCGCCGCCATTCGCCATCCGCCATCCCCCATCAGCCATCCGCCATCCGCCATTCACATGGGATAGATATGCTGCTCCGCTCCTCAATAGTCGCCTCTCTTGCGGCCATTTAATGCTCGACTGCTCCTGCAAGCCAGCTGGCAGGGCTGTAGCTGTATGTCTCAATGTTGTTGATTTTATGGGGTTTTAGCGATGCAGAAATTATTCGTACGCTGCCGGCGGCGCACTTGTACCAAATAAACATAGTGAAAGCCATTATAAATGGTGAAAGAAGCTTGAACTTTGAATGGATGCCCGAGGAGTGACCCTTAGGTTGGATGGCGTATTGGCCTCTATCGTCCCAGCTCCACTATCACTGTATTCTCAGTACAATACATCTTTGACTTTGAGCTGTATATGATTATAATTACAATTGCAATTAGCAACAAATCTCTATCTAAAGTAGCATCTAAGTCATGTTAAAGCCCATGCATATGGGATCTATGAATGTGATAAGCTTAGAAAAACTAAATAATGGAAATATAACCAGCTATGCCAGTCCCCAAGCCCTTTAGCTGAGCCCCCCAGAGGGCTGATCACATCTGAATACAATTTGTTATTCCCTGCACACGAGTTAGTTAGTTAGCAGCAATTTCCCTACCAACATCCTGCATTTGACAGTTATTAGATTAACACCTATCTGCCATAGGGCGGCCTGGGAAAGGACTCTGCTCCTCTCTCTTCAGCGTGGGACTGACAACGGATACTCGATTACTCTCTCTCAGGCTGGGCCAGGCCTGGGCCTGGGCTTGGGCACAGGCGACGTTGCACGAAATTGGACAAACAATAAAGCGCTCAAAATGTATGCGAACATAAAATCTCGGCCCTACTCCTACCCCGGTCCGGGGTCCATCCATCCCATGAGTCGATGGCCGATGAGGAGGAGCAGGTCGAAACAAAAGGCAACTCTGTCGGCCATGTTCAATGATAAAGACCAAAATGGGAGCTCCTGCATGGGATGTCAATTTCAGACAAACAACCCAACGAAGGCGCATCTACATACATATATACATATACATGTATGTATGTATGCACATTGTATATATTGATAGATGACCAGGATATTGATATATACAATATATGTATATGTATATGTGTATGGCTTATATGGCATTCAAGATGGTGGGCCCTGTTCCCGACTGTCGACTGCCGACTGTCCATTTTGAGCAGCACATAAAAAGCTGTTGCCGGTCGGAGTGACTCTGGATGTGGGAGTGAATTTCAGTTGAAAGCTGTCAGTGGCTGTTTAGATTTACGTGCCGCACTGCAGCCATGTCAGATGAATGGACAACACCCACAGACCAGCTGCCCCCAGTCCTGATCCCAGGACCCATTCATACTCATACTCATACCCATACCCGTCCGAACCCCCATCCCACAATTGCACTTTGTAACAATGCAAAAACACACAGACCCGGCCACAGACACAGACACACACGCACACACACTCACACACACACACACACAATCGCCCTGATGGCAGACGCCCGTTGTCATCGCTCTGACTTTTTGTTAATGAAAGTGTCAGCTAGACAAACGCACTCAAACCATCCACTCACCTCACATCACATCACCCCACCTCACCTCACCTTACCTAACCCATGGAACCCTCCCCAGACCCATTATCCTGGCATGGCAAGCCTTTGTGTCGGCTTTCGGCCTATTTTGAGCTGGTGTTCTATAGGCCTTCCATTTCGGACCAATAAATTATGATCTGGCTGATTTGCGCTGTGGCCATTGTAAGCGCTCGGAGCCCCTGTGATATTGTTGTCTGGTTTGTTCAGGGAACATTTCATTTTCCCATTTTGCCCGAGCGCCTAATGGAGAAAATTGTATAATTATTTTCTACATGACATAATGCCAACTATTGGCCGATCTAAAGTTTGTCTTTAAAATTTTCCATGCTACAAGACACTGCCAATGCATCCTAAAAGTATGCACCCAATAGCACGTTTTTCTAGCATTGCATTGCGCCTGATTATGTTGGAAAGACAGGTGTTAAAAGAGCCAAACGACAGGAGTTTTGCCCATGCTGGCTATAATAATTTTAATAATGATCCTACTCGGAGAGAAGACGTGGCCCTATTGTATCGGCTATTGGTGCCGATCAAGAATATGTATGAGTATGCATACTTTATAGAGCTTCCCTCTGGCTGGTACTTAAATTTATACGAATGTTTTGCATTCGTGAAAATTCATGTTTATTCGTATTATATGAAGCTCTCTTTTCAGTTAAAAATTAAAAATTAAAATAAAAGGTATTATTGCCTTTCTATCTATTACTCTCACTAGATTTCTAACCGGCAATCAGTCCACTTTGTTTCATATTTGGCTGTTCAATAAATATTTTCTGGCTTGTGAGAGCATTTTCCAGGGTAATATTATCCGAAAAGCTTTTCAGCAATTAGCGAGGGAGTTGGCAGCTCTTGACTCTTCCAGTCCTTATGCTCCATAATGGTAAATGCTCCCAACTCAATTTACATGCCAGAAAGCTCAAGAAGCTACATAAAAATTGAAATGGAAATGTGGAAACGGGGAAATGGATAGGGAGGTAACAAGTCTTGACTTAGGCCAGGGCACATTATTAAAACGCGGATAAGTCGCGACGTGCAACGATGTGTTGAATGAAAGTGAAAAGCTGTGCGTGGGCAATTAGAGAGCGAAGGAGGGGGAAAAGCCGGAAAAGTCGAGGCTGAAAACTAAGTCGGATAAGGGCGGAGAGATGTAATTCGCATGCTGGATTTTAATTAATTCAGAGCACACGAAACAGAGCCGAGATGGAGGTACTGATAGCACCTCAACCCCAACCCCAGCCCCAACCCCACTCCGCCTTACCTGTTCCAAGTAGGTTAATGCTGTGATGGGTGATGCAGAGATGGAGAGATAGAGAGGCGGTGTCTGGGTCTGAGGGCTAGGGATACGATCCCCACCAGACGCCTTAATTGACGGGCGTTACAAAATATTTACCGGTACGCGTACACTTACCGCTGGCCCACCGCTGACAGGGAAATGGAAAAGATGATAAAGTGCGCAAATGTTTGCACTTTCCCTTTATGACTCTTTAGAGACGCGAACAGTTTTGGGTGTGATGTCGGTGTGTGTGTGGGGGAATCCCCATCCCAAGTGCCCGCACAGCCCCCAACGCATTATTCTGCCCAAATTGTTTGGTTTAGAGCAGGGAATGGGTATAGGTCTGGGGATGCGGATTCGGATGCGAGTGGTGATGGAGGTTTGGGTCGCACCCTCGGCGTGTCGACGTCTTGATAAGAAGGTGTCGCTACATAAATATTTTCATATTTATACGAATAATTTATTTACATTTTCTGGCATGTGTGTCTGCTGCTTGAGGGTGCCCTGAATTTCGGCCCTGTTTGGGGATGTGGATGTGTGCTTCGGGGCCCCAGAGCCGTATCGAGGCAATCCTCCACTCCACTGTCAACCCCAATTTCGATATTCGACTAGTTCGAGCCAGGCTCACTGGCATTCGTATCTAGTAGCCCATTCATATCACATCTTGGCTGTACATTTCCAATATCAAATCTAAAAAACCCAGTCCGAAAATAGTCTTCCAATAATTCAAAACTGAATTTCAGCTCCAAAAGTGTCCAGATTTTTATACTTTTCTACAAAAAAAATCAGATATTTCTATATTTTCTGCTGTTCAGAAGAAAGTGAAATGTGCTCGAATACTCAGGAACGTGCAACGCGTGCCCACGAGCCGGGGCGAGTGTGCCGAGAGTTTCTCTACTTGCGATCGAAGCGGGTGAGTATACTGCATTAGAATAGGTTTGAACCGCTAATCCCACACAAGAAGAGCTCAGAGAAGATGTTCGCACCGCAATATCCTTTTTAGGGAATTCTATTTCTATAAAGTGGGGCCGAACCGGTCTCTTACGTTCCCAGCATTCCCAGATTGATTTCATTTTCTCTTCGAACAGCCCAATCGCGTGGTTCCCGCCTTCACCTATCAGGCTCTGCAGAAGAACACTGTGGTAAAGCCTCCTCCAAAGTGAGTACGAATACACAGCTGAAAGGGAAGTGGGACTATAGAACTCGATCGTTCGACTGCACCCCTTAGGATCGACATTTTCAAGCGACGACCCGTGAAGGAGACAGTTTTTAAGATCTATTTCAGTCGCGGGGACATCCCGTGCGTCCTGGCCGGTCGCAGCAGCAAGCAGGACCCCACCAAAGATCGCTCTGTGCGCTGGACCTGCGTGCCAGAGGAGCTAGACTACTGCTACTATCTGCCGATCTTCGTAGACGGGCTGGCGGACATGAACAGCGACACGCGGCTGCTGGCCATCAACGGAGCCATCGACCTGATCATTCGGTCGCCCAAGAAGGTACTGCCCGTGCTGCCAAAACTGATTCTGCCGCTGAAACGGGCCTTCCAGACCCGCGACAAGCGCATCATCATCTCCGCCCTTCAGGTGGTCCAGCTTATGGTGCGACTGGGTAAGATCTGCTGGTAAACCAATTAAAAAAGATCTATAGCCCTTTTTGGTCCTTGGTCCTTGCTCCTTGCTCCCTAGGTCCCTGTGTTGGAGAGGCCTTGGTGCCGTTCTATCGCCAGCTGCTGGCCGTGTGCAACATTTACAAGAACATCAACGTGAATCTGGGCGAGGGCATCGACCCGGACCGCAGCAAGCGCATTGGCGATGTCATCGAGGACACCCTGAAGCTGCTCGAGTACTGCGGCGGTCCGAACGCCTTTATCAACATCAAGTACATGGTGCCGACCTACGAGAGCAGCGTCTTTCCCCGCTGCGAGATGCCGGCGCCATCGTAATCAATTCGACATCTCGATCTAATCAAGTTTTGGTTTCGATTTTAGTTTATTAAGTTTCGTTTTTCGGCAGGGAATTACTAAAACAAAATCCAACGAAATTGTTAATTTTGTGAATTTTAAAATCAGAGTACATTAAATCCATAGTTACATGCATTCAATAAGCTGAATCCATGAGCTGAGAGGGCTGGGACTAGTCCCAGACTTTCCCGGAAACCCTGTTCTGTACACTCATTTCCATAAGATCTGTGAGGTCTTTCGGGATACATAGATCTCGTCTGGGACGGGACTCCTTGCCTGACAGAGTATTCGTGTTCCGCTCCACTTACCCCGAACAAGTTTCCGCCCCTCCACCAGGAAAGCCGCCATCTGTTAGACAGTCAAGTGATAAATGCCTAATTAATTTTTAATTTTCAGAAAACAAAAGGCAGACGCTGCAATGGATTCCAGTAGGAGTGTGAGTACATGCTTATTTTTTGTAGCCAATTGAAGGAACGTGCCATAAATAAAAAGCTGATTACCATAAATCATAAAGTGAAAATTGTTCAATGCACTGCGGCACTTTTAATGGAATATCCATGTAAAGAGTGTTGACTGTCTGGCAGATACATTTGTCTAACGGGAGGGTGTTCTGGCCTCCGTCTGCCAGCGTTCGAGCCTGCCTGCGTGGCTGTGTCTGTGTCTGCCACCGTGTCTGCCTTCCGTTATCCTGTGCCCTGGTCCCCAGAACCTTATCTCTGGCCAAAATCAAGCAAAGAGCCACACACTTTTGACTTTTGAGTACTCTCCCACTCTCCACCATCTGAAAATCGAAGGATGGGCACACTCCAAATTTAATTTACCTAAATTGCTTGGGGTGGATGTGGTTTAGGCATGGCTATTGCTATTGCTGTTGCTCTCCCATCTCTCCCATCTCGCAGCTCCTGGCTATTGCCATTTGGAAATTGCTCATTGCGCTTTTCAGCGTAATTAAGGACGACCCTCCATAATTTTTGAAAAACAAATCTTGTTATCAACGCGCACCAACACGAAACAGTTGTCCGGAGTCCGTTCTCTGTTCTGCTCCTTGCGGATAGTGGGATGGATGGTCACTCTGGTCACACTGGGCTGCGACCTCTCCCTGGACCCCCCTCCAGACTGGTTGTTCGGCTGCTTGGTTGCTGGGTTGGTCGGTGGGTAGATTGTGGTGCGTAGATAAAAACCTGCCAAGTGTTGCAACTCAATTTGCCCCACACCCGGACGAAACCAGCCACCCCTCTGGGCTGCTGGCTTCGCGTCGTGTCGCGTCGCGTAGCGTCGTTCCAGCACACAAGTTCTTAATTCACTTTTTGGTAGCGTGTTTTTCCCCGCTGCCGATTCTATTTCGTTTTTTTAATCTCCTGTTGACGGTAAATCAAACAGTCCCCCTGGGTGCAGCGTCACTTGACGACCCTCCTGTTTGCTAAATTGCATTTGCTTGCTTCGAGTTTTCCATTTTATTGTTTGGCCGTGGATCGGCTTCAGCTTCAGCTTCAAAATGCTGGTAAAACGTTTTGACATTTTATACGCACTTCTCGAGGAGCGGTTTTTATTGCTTCGAGACCCCAGACACACTGACAGTAGTCGCCATAATGGCAGGGCACGACCGGGGATGGGAATGGGGATGGGGACGGGGATGGTCTGGGAAAGCGGTTCGCTGCAGGGCGCCCAAACTTTGATTTAGATGGTAAATCCTTTCAAAAGATTGCTTTCGAAATGGGTAAATAATAAGATTCGAGGCCCAGTTTTCAGAGTCCAAAATTGAATACTTTGGAGTTACAGAGCCAAAGTGGTTGAGATAGATAACAGGTAGCATCCGAATCAGGGTTCAAGCTGTATGTGAGTTATGTTGAACTCCACAATTCAAGAGACCTGAAGCTGCAGATGGACTGGATACAGGAATCCATTAAGTGACTCCGTCAAATAAGTTTGAGACCGTTCCAGATTTGGGTGAACTTATCCCTGTTAAGAAATCGAAGTAGACCCCTCTCTCTCGCACCATATCCAAATGTGATATCAAATTTTGCGCTGCTGCCATAATGTACTCTAGCCTTACTCTCCTGATGCTCGTCAATTCGCCCACACTTTAGTTACATCGATGCCCAGGAGGGCTTTTCCTTCGCACACACGCACACAGCTCGAACACATCCACATCCATAGAGAGCAGTCATATGCAGGACTCCCCCATTAGGTCGTGCCCATAGCCCATGACAGAGTCGGTGTACTCGTGGCAGTGTGTCCGTGCGCTGTGGCCAGTGGGTTGGAAATTGCTTTAATATACCGGAAATTGCAGGAGAGTTGCATAAATTGACACGAAACGCCCGCGGGCACAATTCGGGCCATCCAATGTAATGAGCATTTCAGACATCAGCGCAGAAAACGAAAGTATTGCCCACTCCACCTCGAGGTCTTATCGATTGGGGACTGCGGACTGGGAGCCGCCCCTAATTTCCATCAGTCGATGCCGCGACTCGAGTAAATATGCAGAACAAAGAAGGCAAAACGTTGGTATTCTATATAAATCAGAAAATTACCTGAGTAGAACATCACTCGATCCACACACTAAGAGATGAAACTATTTGCTTCGGCTTTGGGGCTTCCTCTCAGCCTGGCTGCTATGAGCTTGTCTCGCGTCGAGGGCTTCAACTGCACGCTGCCATTGACCAGAGTAGGGAAGAAGCATTACTTTGTGGAGAGCAAGGATAAGGTGAGTACCCGTTACATAGGCGTCTTTCGTGGAATCTCCCAACCCCTTCCTTCCCTTTCCTTAACTCTCCAGCTCACCTGGTACGATGCCAACGAGCGCTGCATTCGGTCGGGCCTCCAGCTGGCCACCGTTGACTCCGAGTACAAGTTCACTGAGCTGACCGACTTCTTGACGAGCATGGGCTATCGCGCCGACTGGATCTGGATTGGGGGCTTTGGCCGGCAGGGCAGCTGGCTGCAGTTTGGTCCTGCCCGGCCCCTGCCCTATGCCAAATGGTACATCAGCCAGCCGGACAACCTGAACAGCGAGAACTGCATGAACCTATATCGCATCGGGGAGCCCTGGTTCATGAACGATTACTCCTGCCGTGTCAAGCTCTCGTACATCTGTGAACTCGACTCGACAAGAGTGTATATCAACTGATTTGGTAATATACATATATATTCGAGCTAAAAGATTTACTTTGAATTTGATTGAGGGATGCGAGGGGTCCCTAGGTCCTGCAAGTTACCTATTATCTATAAAGGTATCCCGAAATGCAAATCGTTTTGAATTCTTTTAAAGTCGTTGCAAGATCACGTGTGTTTCGTACGATAGCGTTGGTGAAAGCACATGAATAGTGGGTATGATGCATAAATTCATGCATCAGATCTTTCAGAAATGGAGCGTACAACTAGTACGATATATTTTCTTGATGCATTGCTGATGGTCTTTATCGGTATCTGACATATCGAAGAGAATACACACTAAATCGTGAAGAAAGAAAAACGAAACCATGAATTTAGCTCAATGCTTCAGTTTTACGAAGAATTATTCCAATTTGTGGTTTTGGTGTGAGTCGCTAAGCTTCGAAGCTGATATCGATAGGTTCAGAACCGATTATATTTACAACGGCGCGATAGTAAGGAATGTGTCGTAAGCATTCACCAGCACTCAAAACATGACGCATGATACATTCTGCTGGAAAGGCATTGAGCTCATGGTCTCTTTCGGATGTACTAACCGACGAAATTACTACAAGCAATATTGGAGTACGTATGGGGCTGCTTTCAGCGATCAGAAGCATAATCCTTTGTTTTCCAAACCTAATGCTAAAAATAACACAGTTCTGATATAGGAAAAATAAACGAGAGTGATTTAAGTAATTTTAATTTCATTGCAAACAAATTTATTGGAAACTAAGGAAAATTAACGTTGTGGACATGTATGAACACTGTACACATGTATCTATGTACATTCTTGATATGTTACGATTTATCATTTCAAAGATAGTTCTACACTGCCAACTCGTTGTCCTCTGTCTTCTTAGGAATACCCTCGCATAGATATGAGTATTCTTTGAAGCAACTCAGGTCATTCATGAACCAATTACCACTGTTGGCCTTGATGCCCAGACAGTTTTCCGCACTGTACAAGTCATTGGGTTCGGCGGATGCCCACTTAAAGTACGTCTGGATCTTGGAGTTCGCCAGCGAGATCCAGGCTCCGGACTTGATGCCAAAGCCAGAGAACCACACAGCTTCGTCTGGACCGAAACCCAATTGATTGAGGTATTTCTATATGGCATTGAGCTCCTCTTCGCTGTCGATGGTGGCCAGAATTGGAGGCTATCATTGCAGTGATTGTACCATCTGGAGCACGGAGTATGGTAGTACCTTGCCGCGTTCTATTTTATAGGCGCTGTCTCCCAAAGAGACATAGTCTACCGAGCACTTGAGATCCTGAGCTGGGACGAACTTGAGAGCTAGCTGGAGGACGAGTAGCTGAAGAAAGCCCTTCATGGTGACTGAGTACTGATTATCGTCTGTCCATTTGAAGCAATGCAGGCGAATTTATATGCATGGTCTTATCAGCTAATGGGTGATTAGGAAATTCTCTCGGTTCGGGCTTAGTTTTCTTTCGTCGTTCCAGTTCCCCCATTCCGGGAGGGGGGTCGGGCCTAAGTACACTGACAGTACACTGACAGTACACTGTCTGTGATCGGTGTTGTTTGAGCAGACATAAAGAGGCCATTCCATCCATTTGCAATCCCTGTTTAGCCGGTCACGACCAGACATAAAGAGTGCAGGGCGCAGCTGGTCGCATTTTCACGAATCACGTGCGCGCTGCGTTCCGTGGAAGCTGCCCGGAAGCAAATCGAAATTATCACCAATTTGCAGTCATCGAAATCCAATTACGGGGCGGGGCGTGTTGGTGTGGGAGTGGGATTGGAATTGGAAGTGGGCTAGGGCGAGTGTAACCCCGGATTCCACGTCGGACAATGAGTGTAAGTGCCGACCTCCACTATCCATGCACTCCATATGCTGGCAACGAGATACACAAAAGTGCAGCGCGACAGCGGCGGGACCTGGACCTGGACCTGTCCCCCGGATCGGGAGCAATAATCGGATTAGGTTGGCGGCTGCTGCTGGGAAAATATACATAATTTGCGAGAATTGTCACACGACACGGTCCGGGACCCATGCAGCACTGGACGACTTATTTGCAATTTGCGAAATGGAATCGAAACGAGACTCCGGCCAGCGGCAGGGGCAGGGCAGGGCAGGTTCAACAGGACACTAAATCATGCGTGTCAAGTCGACGAGTTCTTGTCTCTATCAAACTCATCATAATCGCCCCTGCGTACGCATCATTATCGACTGCATTCTCGTCCCTATGGGGGTTGAGTCGACTACCCTTGTGTCGGGTTCCTCTGTTGTCGTTTAGTTCCGGCATGCGACAGATGCAACAGACGTGCAGACGGTCCGGGTCTGGGTCTGGGTCTGGGTCTGGGTCTGGGCTTGGGTCTGGGTCTGAATCCTGGGGTTTGGGGTCTGTGGCACGACCGCAAGCGGCTCTCAATAGAACATCCCGGCGGTGGAATCCTATCCGCTCCACCCCTGGTAGCTGTCACTGCTCATTGTCAGCTAAGTGCCGGGGTGTGGAAGGCGCAGGGGTGAAGGCGGATGGTCACCAAGCCGCAGCGGCAGGAGTGGAAGGGGCAGCCCTCGAAACGAGGTTGTCGGCTGCGGCAGAGAACATTTTCATTTTCAAGGACCTTAAACCAACTTTTTTGCACTCCAGCAACCTGCCAGCTCTTGGGGGAAGGTGACCATGGGAGAAACATTGCATGCACAGTGGGACATCGCATGGAGAAACTGGCACTAGAAATGGAAAGATTAGCAAAAGTACTGAATCTGTTCTGAAATTAATTTAAATAGACCCCATGCACTTCTACAGCAAAAGCACAAAACCAAAGCAATCAGGATGTCAGTATGACAGGCATTCTTAAATTATTTCGAGAGACTAGAATCCAAACAGACTCGAAAGGGCAGACCGTAATATTGCTCTCATTATCCACATCGAAGTTTTGAAGATGCCTGGTAGCCTCCTGCCGTTTCCGATCTCCACCAATACGAAAATCGTGATCTCATTGACCGCCGGCATGGGTGTGTTAGGGGTACTCTCGCACTTTATGCTTCGCCGCAGGAAGTACCCGTGCAAAGCTCCTCGTCCTGTAGACATCCACGAACTTGGCGTCATGGGAATGCATGCTCTGGGTACGGCAATCAGTTGCTGGGAGGATGCAGCAAATGTCCACTTCTCGTCAGGACGCCTTGCCCAGCGCCCGGAGTTTTACCTCGAGATTCAGAACCTTCTGGAGATGGCTTACTCGCTGCAGGAGCAGAGTAGGCTGCTCTTTTGCGACGAGGACAGCGCATCAGACATGGACGAATAGTTATGCAAATTCGAATTACTCGTACTCTTTAAACAGCCGTATATTTTGGAACATAATTATAACTTTTTTTCGTTTTGAAACTCGTACCAAATTACCTGTAGTTTTAATTCCATTCAATATCGATATGAAAAGTACCACTGTAAGTATATACAGGAGCCAAATAGGGTTTACATCTTGATTGTTCCTAGCTCAGCCATATGATTACTCACCCTATTTTAAGCCTTCAGTGGATCTTCAGAAACAATAGAGGCTATTAAATAGAGCAATTCGCACCTGATTGAATCCAGGACTTATTATTTTCAGACAGAATATAATATGTGTCTGTGCAGTGGTAATGGGGTCTCGGAGATACTCGTTCTGTGGATAAAACGGAGTTTCAGATAGTACGAGTATTTAAACAAGAGATTGAGGGGTTCTCCAGTACATTTTTGCATATTTGCATTTTTAGAGCAGTTCAAGTTGGCTTGTACCCACTGTGCCTGCCTCCCCCGTCACACGTTCCCGACCGCGACACAACAAAGGAGACGATAAGACGACAGACGCAGCCGACGCTCTTCGGCTTCCGCTGCGCTGCACGGATGATTTCCACTTGGGCAAGGGAGGGTGCCAGCCCGCTGGTTGGCAGCCGACAACAATAAAAGGAAATTCAATGAGTTTTGTGATAATTTCGCACTACACGAGAAGCGATAAACCCGAGCAGACGAATCCAAAGAGCAGGCAGACAGAGAGGGGGAGAGAAAAATCCGTAAACGAGCAAATAATAAAAAGTTTATATATAGAAATAATAATAATAATAACACGTATAGAGCGCGATATAGAAATACACGAGTGTGAATAGGCAATGAGGGAGGGGGCGGACTCGGATGCGGATGCGGAAGCGGATTCGGATTCGGATCGCGGTGAGGTGAGGTCGCCGGGATCGGCCGGGGAGGGTTGTTCCGCCGAGGTGTCGGATGGCCCTTGGTGGGTGATTCGGTTGGTGGGTTGTTGGGTTGCTGGGTTTCGAGTGGTTGCAAATCAAACGGCAACAATGCAATCAAAAAAAAAAAAATAGAAAAGAAAAACTCCATCCCATCGTGAGTGCAAATTTAGTTATTGTCTAGAGGTCCTTCTGGGCCTCTGGGAATACCTTGGCCATAATTTAATTCGCCGGCCCATTATTTCATTAGTTCTGCGATGCCCCTGGAAAATTGCGCAATTTATTCTGGGAGAGCGGGTATAGGGCATAGGGGATGGGGATGGGGATGGGGATGGGATAGGCATATTGTAGAAACTGTAAATGGCAGCTAGACGCATAAATTTGTAAATTTCGATTTTGATTTTGGCATTTTAATTGTTGGCAGTGCAAAGCTAACAAGGCCAACCAACACCGACCGGCGACTGTCTGGTTTAGGTCCTGGCACCATTGTCTTTTGCTGGCCGAACATGTTGTATCTTTGTATCTGCATCAGCATCTGCATCTGCATCTGCTGGATACTGCTACGAGTAGGTGTTGCTGTCGGTGCGGCTCTCAATAGCCATTCAGACTACTGTCTGCTATTAAAATAAATATATGTATATTTGAGTAATTATTATTTATGGGACTAACAAATTTAAATGGCAAGTAATTCCCCAAACCTTTGTTGCATTTGCTCAAACCATACTTTGTGCTATAAGGGGCGCACTGTCCCTCTCCTCCCCGCAATTCCCTCTGTCAAGTAACCAAGTTTTTCTGGTCTTGAAGTACCCATGGAATTATGCAAGCCACTCGCTGGAAACGCACTTGAACTTCTCTGGTATCTGGTATCTGGTCGCTGGTCTCTGGTCTCTGGTCCGCCGAGTGCAGCACAAATGCATAGAGACAATGAAAATTAAGTTGATGTAAGCAGAGGCAGAACTTTATGCAAAACACTGCCAACGAACACACAGAACAAGAAGCTGTCAGTCAGAGCCAGGTCGAGAGCAGATATCAAAGCACATTCAGAACCGATTCAGAGGGGGAGGCAGAGGCAGAGGCAGTGGCAGGACTACAGTCCAGCCAATCCGAGAGTCCACAAAAAGTATATTACAAAAGTTGACAACGAAATCCATCTGTTTAATGGGCTCGGCCACACAACGAGTGTGAGCACCCACTCGCTTCTATCCGCCGCCTCCCACGTCTCCACATACTATATGCTGTGCTGAGCGCCTGTCTAATCCCTAAGATTACAAAAGGTCTCCCATAGAGACCCCACTATTACGCTTGATAAATTCGAGATTAAAGTGCACTTGCAGCCGAACCGCACCGAACTGAACGGAAATGAGACCAGGAGCACCGCACCCACAGTAAGAGCCAGGCCCAAAGGGCATACAATTTATGGTCATACATTTGGCAGGATTTCTTTCGCTCCTTCTATGGGAGGAGTAGAGCCGGGAGGCCTTTTAATTATCACACGTAATGACAGCACCAAATGCAATTGCTAATTAATTGCTCTGGACCTGGACCACTCCTGTTCTTGGGAGGATGATCCCCTGAATGGGGGGATGAATTTATGGCCTATACATTTGCTTTGCCTGACATTATTATTCCAACATGTGCGGTTATGGGGGGTTGGACTGACTTGGCCTGGCAGATCTAGATACTTCTAATGCAATTTCCTTTCTTGAGAAAGTGGTTGATTCGGGGGCGTAGTGACAAATGGGAAAATGCTTCATTAGGCTTGAGGAAACTGTCGAATTACATTGGCGAGGGTAGGATAGTACAATGCAACCCAAGATGCGGATAGGAAAGAACAAAATTAAACCAGATAAACCTTCAGATACAACGCAATTTAGACTCGGACCCAACTTGAACTTGAGACGAGCCGAACTTCATATTCACTTTGGAGGCTGCCGCCGCATCTGTGGCTAATGATGATAATCGTTTTGCGCTGTCAAAATTGCCGCAGAATATAATGACGATACCCATAGATAAACGCACGTCCCATGATTAACGATGAGAGCATTATGAAAAACCCAAAGCACAGAAGCGAAATAAAACTAAGCTCAGAACAAAAAGGTTCACCCGATACACAATGGAATGAAATCTTTAAGATACAACGGAAACTACATCAAAACAATCACAAAAGATGCTAGCCAACCGATTAGAGACAATTACTGGACGGAGCGGCGGGGGCTACAGTCTCCTCCCGCCTTACACCCACACCTACACCTGCACCCCTGCACCCCTGCCGTAGCCTCAGCCTCCAGTGCAACAGCAACAACTCACTTAGAGACCTGCGACCAAGATCAAGTCAAGATCTTATCTGCAAAGCTCAAACAGCAGAAGCAGAGCCAGAAACAGCAAACAGCAAAAGTCCACTGAAATGGAAACACTTAGAATTGGAAGCAAAGGCAACTTTTTTCTACTCCCCAGCTTTGCCAGTTAATTTTAATGAATCTCTGTAGGTATTCGGACTCGGTTTTGTTTTGTTTTGTTTCGTCTCGTCTCGACTCGAGTCTGGTCGTTTTGCTTAGTTGTTTGTCGACGGCTTTCAAGTGTGCACACGGAACGCGCTCAAAGTTCAAGTGTCTATTACGAAACTCCTTAGAAAAACCCCTAATAAAAATACCCCGTGCGCCAGCACTTATTTCGGTTCTCTGCTCCAAGGCGAGATGCTGCCAATACCAAGATCTTTCACCGCCTTCCTCTTGCTGTTGTTCTGCAGCGTTCTGTTAACTCATCGCGGTGTCCAAGGTTGCTACGAGTAATTGGTAGTTAATAATCAATCAAACGACAGGTGGCAGGCAGATCCCTCTGAATCATCTGATCACTTTTAGGGCAACAGTTGCGTGTCTCTTTCAATTGGGGGTAATTCCAGTCGTGGGGGAACTACGACACTGCGAATCGAAAAGATTATTGCTAACAGATGAGTGATTAGACATCGATAAACATCGATCGTATAGGAAAAGAGTCACAAAATCTGGAGCCGAACCCAAAGAACCTCCAGGCTTCCAAAAGGACATTTTAATAGATGCATCCAAAACTATTGCGTCTAATGGGTTGCCTATACTTTGTGATGGCGATTTCTGTATTATTTTTAGACCAAACAGATACCTAGGTTTTTAAAATACCGTACAATTCATGTAAATTATACACGAAAGTATTATTTAGGGAGTCAGTAAGCTCCAAGTAAACGATACCATAAAAAAACTGCTCCTGTAATTTAACTGAGCGAAACTTTAAATTAAAACATAATTGACGTCCCTTCAGTCGTCAGTTTAGAAAGAGGCTGGGAAAGCCGTAAAATATGAAATTCAAGAGCCCAGGGGTTGGCCTCTGGATAGAGGTCTCTCCCCGTCGCTAATCCGATTTTGATTAGGACAAATCCAATAATTATAATTCCGCTTGCGTATACGAGGATTCGAGTGCAGTGGCAAATCGAGGCAGTCGACTCTGCTCTGCTCAGCCGGCCGGATTGGTTACGAGCGATGCATCCATAAATAAGTCAGCGTGTGCTAATTGCACCACTTACGAGTATATGCCACGGACGACCGGGCGGTGGCTGTGGCGGTGGCGGACACGCTCCAATTCACCTGATTAAAGTAGAAGCTGAGGATTGCCAGGGACGGGAGATGGTTGCAAGTGTTTGCATAACTTTAATTAAATTTCTGCTAAATCTAATTTCTATGCTAAACCGAAAACAAACAACGACGACGACGTGGCGTGCAACCAGGTCAGGCGAATAAAGTGTCATCCAAGTTGGATTTCGATGAGAGCGATGGCATCTCCAACAGCAACAACAACCAGACGGGGATGCAACCCGGAATGCAGGGACAGAGTGGAAACGGGAGTGGCAGCTATGACCAGGGCACTGGTCGTGGCTTTGCAGAAGGAGACAGGGGAAATGCCAATGAAAGAGGAGGCGGCGGCGGCGGCGGCGGAAACAGCAGCAATCGCCCCAAGATACACGGCGTGCGGGTAACCGTCGATACGGGCGATGGACAGCAGCAAACGAAAGGTAATTAGATTGGCCCACACCCACACCCACACCCGCACCAAAGCATAAGCTTGAAATGCAAAAAAGAACATGGTAAAAGTAAAAATTGCAATCCCAAAAAATCTAGAGTCCAAAGAGAGCGTGGAAATTACGGACCTCGGCAAGCACAAGAAGCGGGTGGGCATCCACACGGACATCACGTTCGAGATAACCTCCGAAGGGGAGGGCAACGAAACCAGTTCGGCCCAGAGCCATGGGGAGAAAGGTGAGTGAGAAAGTGAGAGTCCTCAGTCACTTTCGCCCTCGTCTAACCCATTTCGCACCTTCGACTTTCAGAGGACGCCAGTGTGCCCATCTACAAGGGCCGCGGGGGCAGCGACTCAAAGCACAAGACCCCAAAGCCCCATGATCCAAAGTCGCAGTGGAACCCGAACTACTCCAGCGAGCACCGCGGCTATGAGGGAGGAAGTCGAGGCGGGTACTACCCGCAGTACTATCCTCAGCATGAATATACCAGTCGAGGATCTGACTCAGGGAGTATTCATCGCACAGGAGAGACCTGGACGCACTACGTTCCTGTTTGGACCACAGAACGCGCCCCCCAGGAGCAGAGCCAGATCTACCGCAGGCCCAGCTGGAAGCCCTGCTACTGCATGTCCTCCACCGATTACCGGCGACGGCGGGACAGCAAGGCCAGTCGGGAACTAGGAATAGGAATAGGAAATGGAGCCAAGAGAGTGATCAACAGTGGGGTGGTCCAGGTGGTCGATGGCAAGCTGGAAAGGCCCTTCTCTTGATAAAGCATTCTGTCACTTTATTCTCTTTTCACCTTTTCCCAGAATAAAAACGCACACTTTTATGTTTATTTCTTTGGCGAGTTATATGAGTAATATGCTCTTTGCGTTTCTGGTATCGAAACTATTAGGTATTTCACTTTTCTGCATCTATATTACGAGCTAGGATCGACGCTTCAAGCCAAGCAACCGAAAATTTGGCATAAATTATCGAAAAATTAGGTTAGAGACTTGAATTTGGGTACAGTTGATTGCATCGATCAATAGAATAGACTCAATGCATTTTTGTGAGTTCAGCTTTCGACGAAATTTTTGTTGTGTTTGTTGGAGCAGTACAGTTGGCAAAAGTGGACCGAGAGTGAAAAAATTGCACAACTATGATTTATTTTAACTCTGCTTTACCCTATGCCGAAAAAGGAGCTTTTAGGCGATCATTAGAATAGACTCAGAGGCTGCGGTTTCAGTTACTGATAAGCTGTACACGGTAAAAGTGGCATTTAAATACCTCTTGCACTTTTCGATTATTTTAATATAGAATGGGTTGTTCATCTGATGAAAAACACTTTATCTTTGATGGACCAGATTGGTTTAATTCTTACTTTCATGGTTTAAGAAAGTTAGGACATCATTTGACCCGTCGTCATAGTCGTGAGGGGGGTATAATGGTTTGTGATGCCATCTCTTATTATAGAACATTTGAAATCCAGTTGGTTTCGAGTAAGATAAAAGCCATTCACTACTCCAAATGTCATTTCCCTACTTTTCCAACATCTTTGAGACATTACATTGGGCTGTTCAGCAGGACAATGCCCCAATCCATACTGCTAGAGTAGTAAAGAAGTGGATTGAAGACCAAAATGTTGCATTAATGGAGTGGCACCCTTACTCTCCTGATCTAAATATAATAGAGAACGATGGCCTTGAAGATGTTGAATCATTGAAACATGCCATCAAAAACGCCAGGAGCGAAATATCCCTGAACTATTTTAAGTCCCTCTATAATTTAATGCCAAAACGAATTTCGAAGTCATTTCTAATTAAGGTGGCTACACCTATTATTAAACAGACTTTAAATATCATAAAAATACACTTTAACATTAAGATTCTGAAAAACTTTTTCATTTACATATATTAATTTTAAGAACTTGAGTCTATTCCATTGATCGATAAAAATGTTAACTTTTTTTAGGTTCAAAAACAAATCAAAATATTAAAAGAAACCTTTTTTATTAGTGCATGAAATCTTGAATATTACAAAAATATTTTTTTTCCAAATTCATTCGTATCTTGATTTCTAAAGGAGTTTTTTCTATAGAATATATATTGAGTCTATTCTCTTGATCGGCAGTGTATATAAGAACTGAGATAAATATCAGACCTATCCGACCGCGCCCACCCCTATCGCCCATATAACGCGCTATAAAGTATTATTGATATTATAATGTGATGAGTATTTATATAATTCTTCTATTAATGGTTATTTAAGACAATAGCCATTCGAAATGCATGTCCTTAAATGTTTGATATTTCAACGGCAACAAACCTTTTTTGTATAAACATTCTACATACCACGGCCTTTCCGATCCATTCACTTGTTCTTTAAATTTAGAACAATTACAAGCTTATAAACTCCAGCTAACGCTTTTTTAACACCAACTCATAGCAGTACGAAAATCTGACTTTGAAGGGCTGCAAGCATTTCAGGGCTTACGTAAAATCAAAAATATAAAGGCAGTTTTCCTAGCCAGGGTATGCATTATGATAACGAATCATTCAAAGGAGGGTTTTTTGTTCATGCCATTTCTTGAATATGGGCCGTCTGGCCCAATGTACAATGCCTCGAATCCATCAAGGGGTCGTATTCCAACAGACTTCAAGTCCTGTGTAGACTGCACTAGAGAGATTTTATGAGACACAACTATAAATATTATATCCTTCGCGGATGATATTGGATCCACTGGGATGTAACAACCGACAATCGTCCATTTTTTGCTATAAATTGAAAATTGCCAATCATTTGCATAATTTGTAAGGTGAACGAAGTCGTTCCTTACCTCTTAGGCGCGAGAAATGCGATCATTGGAATACATATGTACATATGTGCTACTCTGTGCAATCATCTCTCCTCTGAGTTTTTACTAACTCTGATACAAAATCGATTTGAATTGGTTTCTTTTAACAAATTTTAATAACGGTATTTTCTGTTTTTTGCTGTCTCAAAAACCAGCAAGAAGGAGATCACCCATGATCAGCCGAGTGTCACCTGCTGGCTCTGCGATTGCGTAGTGCTAGCAAAATGCACTGTGTTTTCGAGCCTCGTGGGTGATGATTCCTGACCCCACAACGCAAAGGTGGAGGAGTTTAACTTTTCTTACGCTATTCTCATTACGCTCAACAGTTTTGCAGCTTCGTTAACAGTAAGCGTAAACGTCCGCACACCCATCCTTGCTATAATTTCTTAATTCGTCGGCAATTAATGATCAGGCAATCGCCGATCTTTTTTCCCAATTTTTCAAAACCACCTATTCTCAGGGATCCTACTCCGGTCAGCCGTACCCATACGGTTTACCGAGTTGCACTGGCATCATCAGCGCCTTGTAAAAATTACCGCTCTCTGCTTCATAATCTTCGACTAGCTAAGCGGTGTTTTCAGCAGGTCCAGACGGAGTTCCTGGCTATGTATGTTACTTAGGTACTGTGCTGAAGCCCTTGGGTAAACTATTCATTCTATCCATTGATTCTTTATGCTTGCCTCGATCTGGAAGGAATAGTTTACATTTCCTCTTCATAGAACAGGTAGAACTTGACGCACAGAATTAGTGGTATATCTAAGTTATCCGCTATTCATTAAATGTTTGAGAAAATTGTAACTCCGCACATCAACAAAACCTAGTGGTAACCAGAAAGATAGGCCGATATTAGCATGGTATTCTGATAGAGGTCAAGGTGGTTACATAATTCCGGATCATTTATCGGAGGCGTCGTTAATAAAATATGCATTTGGAATGTTAGAGGAGAAATATTCTATGTTGCAACATTCCTTAGTCCAGCATAACGACAACATTCTGCCTGGCTATACCAAATATGAGATGCTAAGCAGGAGTCAACCTTCAAGACCTGGTAGTCTTCCAGAAAACCTGACGTCGATCAGCCACTGGGGCTACGATGGACCTTCTGCGCAAAGTGCATTTAAGAAAACCATAGCCCATGCTTGGTGGGATTTATGTGCACAATTTGGTCCAGGGTGAAGTAGACCTGACTTGTTGAGCCGCATTAACTTCACGATTCCTGCTAAATCCTCTAGCAACTATATATACCGTTGACCCTTCCGTTTTGTAGATCGAATTATTTCCTGCATGAATTGTTTAGGGTCTTATGCTCGGAATATAATAACCTCTACCGTATAATATCTACATATAAATCCCTTCCACTTCTTAAATCACTAATATTAGCATACCTTGCTCGTAGTTCGAATTAGTAGTTCTATTTTGAATTCATGCTTAGCTATTTTAGCAAGTTTCTAGATTTCCTCAAATAATAACCTAACAGCTATCTTTCCTGCATGTTACCTCACGCCATGCGGCAGCGCCCCTCGGTCAGTTGGGCGGAAGGTGGGCTGCTTTTTTCGTGGGATCCGCGTGCCAGACGGGCCACTTTAAGTTTATGTCAGCTGAAGTATGTTAGTTTAAATGTGAGACATTTAATCATTTCGTTATACATTGTCTGATTCACAAAATCATTATTGCCTTAGAGTAAACTGCTTAGGAGTGGACACTGTAGGTGCTGACCTTGCCGTTGTCATCCACAGAGGCGGTGGCCGCGTTGTAGCCAAACTGCTTTCCATTGATGTTGTAGTTCTCGCTCTCGCCAGTGGCCAGGTCCTTGTAGTTCTTCACGTGGCCGGTCGAGTCGAACTGTGGAGACAGAAACGCGTTGATTATAAATGTGCTCAAATCTTCTGTCGAGCACTACTCACCTCAGACTGGGAGGACCATTTGGACTGCTTCTCCCATTGCTTGGTCTGGTAGCCACCGGAACCGGCACCACTAGCCCCAAAGTTACCGGCACCCGACTCCTGCTGCTGCTGTTGGCCGCTGGCAAGACCGCCGGAGACACCGAAGTTGCTCTGACCGCCAAGAAGGGAGCCCTGGCTGCCGCCCAACAGAGAACCACTCAGTAGGGAGCCACTCAGGAGAGAACCGCTGGTTCCGGCATTCAAGGAGCTAGCGGCGTTCAAGGAGCTGGCAGAGTTCAAGGAGCTGGCAGAGTTCAGAGAGCTGGCAGAGTTGAAGCCAAAGCCCGAGTTCGAATTGAATGCGGTGTTGGAGCCGAAACCAGCGTTCGAGCCGTAACCGCTGCCCGTCTGCGTCTGCGCGACTTGGTTGCCACTCGTCAGGCCGCTGTTGAAGCCGCCGGCCGTGGATAGTCCGGAACCAGTGCTCACCGAGCTGGATGCTGCCTGCTGTCTAGCGGTCTGGTGTACCTGGTTGAGTAGCTGCTGCAGCTGCGAGTTGCTGGCTTGCTGGACGTTGAGTCCTGCCGAATGGCCGAAGGAGCTGCCAAGGTTTGAACTGAAGGCTGCGTTGGAGCCAAAGTTGGAGCCATAGTTGGAGCCATAGGATAGGCGGCTGGAGGGCTGCTGCTGCACAAGAACCTGGGGAGCCGATGCGGTGGTGGTGACCTTGCGCTGGTAGTAGTGCTGGGTGCTGGCTGGGGCCTGGACGATCTGCACTGGGGCCTGCTGCTCGACAATGCGCTCCACATGCTGGACATATTTCTCGGTGCCGCCGGAGGGGGCGGTGTAGAAAACCTGCCTGGGGGCCGAGACAATCTTCTCCTGGCGAATGTACTCGACGTTAGCGCCGCTCCTTACGGGGGCTGCCTGGACCGTATGGACAGTCTGTTGGGCTCCATTGACAAGCTGGGACTCGGAGTTCAAAGTGTTCGCGCCGCCAAAGTTGACCTCAGCGCCGGCATTCGAGTTGTCGGCAAACTCCACATTGCTGCCCACGTTGTGGGCGGACGAGGCTCCAAAGTTGGACGAGTGGCTGGTCTTGAAGGCGGCGTTGCTAGCGAACGAAGACCCAAACTGGGCCGTGTTCTGGGAGCCGAAGGAAGCAGCATTCTGGGCGCCGAAGGAAGCAGCGTTCTGAGAACCAAACCCGGCGGAATTGCTACCTGCAAAGTTGACACCAGATTCGTGACCAAAGTTAGAGCCAGCACCAAAAGTCTCGCTGGCACTTCCCTGGCCGGAGGCGCCTTCAGCGGCCTCTACGGCGCCCACGGAATCGTAGGAGCTCTCCAGGTTACCCAGACTGCCGCCTGCTAAAGAGGCATCTCCACCGACGCCTGCCCCTAGTCCGGCCGAACCACTGGATGCATAGGCATTCTTGCGGGCGGTCGCGATGGCTTGGTTGTGGGCAGTGTAGTGGCTAAAGAGTTTGAGCAAAGGATATATTAGATAAATCAAATTGGGGTGCAATACATCTCCTGCCGAATGATTTCTATTTTGGAGTACCATGTTGCTTGCCAATGGGAAAATTGCCATTTTTTTCAAAAGGAAACAAAAGCGTATTTTTCATCAACATTGCCACACGGCACTTACCGACTATGGAAGTCGTCTCGTTTGAGTCGTCTACCCACACGTCATCGTTGTGGAATAAAAGAGAGATCGTAAGTCGAAGCTCAGCAGTAATTATCGCCCAACTTACCCTCCCTGGAAATCTGTAAAGATCGAGACAAAATACCGCATTAGTTGTTTTAGAAAACAAGACGTAAAAGCCTCTTATCGCCACGTGTTTCGAACACTCAAATTACACAGGTCTGAAGGGTGTAGTGTAAATCCTCGTAGTTCATTGAGGGAAAATACGCTATGACAACACTTGGGATCCAGCAGAGATCCAGGGGCAAAGACGAAAAGCGTGCCCAAGGAAGAAAATGCACAACCACAGGATCAGAATGTCACTTTTCCCAACACTCTCATGCCTTCAATATTCAAAGATGTCTACCTGCAGCAGCCACGCCCAGGCAAAGCGCCAGTATAAGCAGCTTATTCATATTTGTAGAATTTGATTTTAGTACGGAAAACGTTCGATGCTCGCGCTTGAAAGTGTACTAATGAATCGAGCGAGTGGAATCGCGCTTTAAAGCCCAGACGGCGAAGACACGGCGCGATCACTGATAAGCTCCATATACCAACTCAGACTTGAACCGATTGATTCTTGACCTAGAGAGGATGCCACTCTGGGCCGCGGCACTGATAATGTGTACTATATTCCTCAAAACGGAGCTCGCAATTGGTGCAGAAAGCTGAATGATGAAAGTTAATTGCGACATCACCTCCCTATATAGATGCTTTACTTTACATTTGTGCCGGTTGGTTTCGCAGAACCTTGGTCAGCCTCCTACATAGTATATAGTTGCCATGTATGATTGTGGAAATGAGCAGATCATTGATTGTCTGTATGCTTGCAAGAGTATACATATGTGGAAGATGATTGCAATTAGCTTGAGCTTGAACTTAGAAAATTGAGAGTAAGGTGAAGAAACATATAAACAACCTTGAGCCCAGTTTGAGGAAGTACTAATTTCGTTCTCAGCGATTTAGATTGCGGCTGTAGTTATTGTTTTGTAAACAAACTTGGATACAGTTTTATAGCTTCCGGTAGGGGTTCGATGAGATAGCGATCAATTCAATCAGATTGGAAGATGCCGCCGCTACCCTGGAAAAAAACTATGGAATAGCTCAAATTTTTCGGCGATGCTCCCGCTCCCATAAGTTAAATATATTCTTGATCAGCACAAAGAGCCGGGCCGATATAGGCTATTTGTTGTGCTTCTACGGAAACTACTCTCACAGTTAAATAGGCAAAAAGGTGTTTCTACACTTGTCTGTTGGATATGTGCTCACACATAATCATGAATACCATTTCGACTAAGCATTATCGCTAGGATCGTATAGATAGCGCAATAAATAGATATATAGTGGAGGTGGACCTCAATAAATATGCAACGGACATTGGAATGCATCCGAAACCCATTGCACACCTCAGTAAACAATTTCAACCATCAAAAATGTATAAAAACAGCACAGTTAAACAAAGAAAAATCAGTCATCATCGAATACTTATTCTCATTCGTCCTGTAATACAGACCTCGTCAAAAGGTGGTGAGAGCTCCCGTAGGCCGCAAGGAAGCCCCCGTGGACTAATGGACATCTTAGTGATGAATACACAATGCACAAATTTGTTTCTTGCTGTTTAGCCATGGCTGCTTTATATGGTTTAATAAGCCCCCTTGGTATTAGATCATTTCCTGTCACCCCTGATAAGGCCCACCAATCCAAAGAAACGGACACAAAAAATCAAGTGAGAGTTTTAGTTGGTCTTTCCGACTGAATGATACCTGTTCATCACACTTGCGTATACTCTTCTGAATTTCATGGCAAAGTAAATTATTAGCTCCAACATAAAAGACTTGTCTACGGATGTACAGATCCCGGTGGACTTCCAAGCGCAAGGAGCGGGTCCAAATTCTCTTGCTAGTCGCATAAAGCGAAGCAATCACCATACGAGCATACCCTTGGGCTAAACGAGAACCACTTTGAATATAATCAGAAGAACGAAACAATCTAGTTTATATATATAAACAAATACGACAACTCGAATAGGTGTAAAGCATAGTACACAAGACTCTTTCCAGCCGCTGAGTCAAAATCAAGGTCATCTCAAAATTTGCATTTGTATGAATTTTGAATTTGTATGTGAATGTGTTACGTATGAGTGTGCCATGCCTATAGAAAGAGAGGGAGCAACTTTCTAATAAAAGAAAGCTCCATATTGGAAACCCCACAGATAAGAAAGTCCGCGAATATAATCGTATTTATAATAAAATACACATAATATATATTTTCTGTCATACAAATAAAACGGCCATTGGTTAGCTTTTGTTAGACTGGATTCGAGGCTAGCCAAGGCCCAGCTGCCGTCTGCCAGCTTCCAATAGGAGTCGGGAAGACTCTCGACTCTCGACTCTCGAATCCCTCTAAGAGTGCGTTGAGTACGAGGTGACTTTGCCATTGTCGTTGACAGTGGTCTGGGCGCCACGACGGCTGGTCCCATCGCCATTGCTGTGGCTGTAGGAGGAGACGGAGACACCTTTGTAGCCGCCACCTGAGGACGAGCCGCCTCCGAACCGATTCACAATGTTGGGCGAGGCCTTTAGAGGAAGGGAGGAAGGTATATTCATTAGTAAATGGTTAAAGGAAAACTGCTGCTCTGGAAGGTCCGCTGTCCACTCACCGGATTAGCGGGGCTGATGTAGGCCGTTTGGCGGTGCCCGTTGGGTCCAATGGAGCCCGAGGCAGCGGCGTAGCTGGGGGCATAGCGATGCGAGTTGTAGGAGCCGCTGGAGGATCCCGATCCCGATCCCGATCCTCCCCTGTATCGGTTCTGACGCACTAGATTGTCGTGGTAGGCCTGCTGTGCGGCAATCTGCTGCTGGATGCGACTGGTAAAAACAATATGGAAACCTATATTAGTATTCTGCTTAAGTGTCAGTGGAGATCTGGAGCTCTGGTTAGGTGGTAGATTGGTTAGGATTAGCTAGAAGTAATTACGTGTCGTCGTCGTCGACTAGAGAGGCATCCGCAGATGCGAAAGCATTGCCAGCCGTGGCCAGACCCGTTATAGCTCTACAAGAATAGATGAACAAGCGGTTAAGTTGACCCTCATCCCTCACTACAGACTACCAAAAATAACATCATCCCCCAAGACGGGATCAGTGCTCACTGTTGGTTCGCGTAGTTCTGGGCCAGGATGTGGTTGGTCAGCTGCTGGTGGAACAGGTACGGGTCGATGATGCCAAAGTTCGGCGAGTTGCCGTCGTAGTCATCGTAGTCGTAGTAGCCCCCACTGCCACCGCCGGTTCCCACATAGCTGCTGTGGCCCACGCCTCCGCCGCCGCTGTTGTAGGTGCCCGTATAGCCACCGGCTCCTCCTCCGCTGCTGGCAAAGCCCCCGGCATACCCGCCGGCGTATCCACGACGTCTCCGGGGCTGCTGGCCAGCTGTGGGGATTGCAGAAGGAGGACAAGAAGAGTTAGTTGCCCGCCCTGCTAGGACTGCTGGGACTGTACTTCTGACTTACCCGCCGACGATTCCCCGTTGAGGGCACTCATCACCACACAAATCAACAGATACTTCCACATTCTATTGAACTCGCATTGGCATTGGCGCACGGAAATTCGGTTTGGGTCTGATCTGAAGGGAAAAAAGAGAAAAAGAGAGACGAGTCGTGAAAAACTGGTTCGACAATTAGTGTAAACGAACCGGTTTACACTCTTAGATGCATATTTTTAAGATGGATTCTGCGTGTGTAAAACGCAAATGCGACATTGATCTAAGCGGAAGCTTATGTAAGCAGAAAAACACATCTGAAAAAGGCTGGGACGGGCTCATTGTTTCCCGACACTCTCTCACCCATCATTATCATTAGCAGCCCTCAAGGCGGACGCTATAGATCTGCTTGCACAAGTGTAATGGAAAGGGAAGGGGTCTACAGGGGCTTAAGGGGCTTAAGGGGGATTCTTGAAAGGGCATTGGCTTCCCAGTGCATTCCCGGTCCATCCATCCGGAGACAAGCCCAGCCCCGATGCCTATTCGTAACCAATAATTAACTATTTGCAGCAGCCAAATCGCATTTAATTGCCCTTACACGATTTTCCAATAATGAAATTGCAAAAATCACCGACACTCTGTGCCTGGGAAGGGGGGAAGAGACAGAGAATGGAGAGACAGTCCCACCAAATTGAAAACGGAAATCCCCAAAATGTAAATTAATGGATCTCCATATGACTATGTATATTATTGACTCAATTTGTTTGTCCGGCCGCAGAGAGAGGACCGAACCGGTTCTCAATAATTTGTTCAGCGTTTATAAATTGATACCGAATGTATTTCTTGTTGATTGTTTTGGGGGCCTTAGGCGGAATTTATATTCCAATTTGTTTATGTTCTTATTGGTGTTTTTTACAGAAGATCTTCCTACAAGTTGTCTTGAGAACGGGGATTTCTATCCGTATCTCTTTTTTGGTACTCCAAGTGCTCTGTTCTAATTGAATGGCTTTTGGAGTAGGCAACAACCGGTCGCGCAAGATGATTTATAATTTGGTTTTTCTAATTTCGGACATTAAGTGCTGCATATGAATTGTAATTAACAACTTTTTGCACAACTTGAGCTGTTTTGCCGGGAGCACAGTCGGAACAAAGGAACGGCACTGAGTCGCGTCGCACTTTAGAAGAACACGTTCTGCTACTTTGGCCTTTACAATGCCATGACATTGATGCTCAGTGAACTGTTTGATTGGGACACTCGCAGAGCATCATGTCAATCGCTCTGCTGATAAAGCACCGATCGCCCGCCCCACCCATGCACCCAGGCACCCAGGCACCGGAACACTCTACGAGTACCAACCACACCACATACATACTGAATCGACACTGGCCAACTACAAAACAAAAACTGCGCCACAAATTGGCAAAACCAACAACATTACGAGTGTACTATAGAGATCGCTGGAAGAGACGAGTCGGCTCGACTGTCCGATTCGGGGAGCGTTACTTCTGTACAGTTCTATTCTCAGCCCCGAAACGCTGCGAGCACCGACACTCCGATTCGCCTCCACTCACTTAATGATGTGCTTATGATTCGGTTCTTGACCAGTTTTCTGTCGGGTTCAGTTTGGATTTCGGTGGCGGATTCTCTCGACCGCTCTCTCGCGCTTCTTCACTGTGCCGCAACCGTGGAACGTCTGAGCCGGATCGGGGACCAGGTCCTCTTATAACCAGGCCGACACCTGTGGCTGCGCTGGCGGTGATGACGACGGCGATGACACTGTCGTTCGGCGACTGCCTAGAAAAACACTCGGTTTCTCGTTCGCTTGGAAGCATCAATGCGAGAGGGGAACTTCACTCCGATTCCACGGCTGACTAATTATAATACAAAAAAAAAAAAAACGTTTCGTCTGTTTTGCTTGTCTTTGATCCAAAGGGTTACATTTGGCAAAAAGCTTATAGCAATTTATGGTCAGTAGCTAGCAATACTTTAAAGAAAACATTTTAGAATTTTGTATCTATTTGGTGGCTTACTATCCTTCCGTATACAGACTTGTACCGTGGTGTATCCTAGCTAAAATTTAAATTTATTTATATTTTATGTTGCTTTTGCATTGTTTACCAATTTAAACATTGTCAGACCGCTCCGACCAAAATCCTCCAAATGGAACGATGGCCACATCTTTGATTCAAAAAAGGGGAGTAACGAGTGTACTTTTCAGTTTACATATATGTATTTGATGCATCATCGATTAATACAAACAGTGGATGATAAATAATATTTTTTGAAGGTGGTTCAACAGAGGCAGATCTTTCCCCATTGCCCTCACGGGATATCATTTAATGTTTATTTAACTTGCTGAATCTTACGATTCGATTAGTAACAGATTTGATCTTAAAATACTCGAATGTACGGCGTAGTGTATGTGGATTATACATGATTTCCAAAGAGCCAATAACAATAACTACTACAACCACCAGGCACTTGGTTTCGGTCTTGACCTCGACCTCGACCTCGATCGATTTTCTTCAGAGCTTGGACTTCTCCTGGGGCTGGGGCTGGGGTATGATGACATCGCGCCACCAAGATGAGCGCTGGAAGGCACCCTCGTTGGTCATAAATTCGTTTTGCAGATTCTCATACAGCAGGCCGTCGGCTCGGGCAATCACCGAGTTGAGGGCAAAGTCGGGGGGGGCAATGGCGTCGGCTACGCTCACGGCCACGTCCTTCAGCTGTAAACAGCTATCCAGCAGGAGCCTGCGCACAGCCGCGGAAAAGTCCTTTCCTTCGGCAAATCCGCCCACATAGAAGGTGGTCATGTGCTTCTCCAGCAGCCACATGGCGTACACGTCGAAGAGCAGGCGCAACACCTTGCAATACGCAGGCTCCACCTGCAGCCGACGCACGTGCTCCACATACCGGGTCAGGGCAAAGTACTCGGCGTAGGCGAGAGAAAGCTCGCGAGCTCCTGCCACCTGGGAGTTGTTCCGGGCGTCGAACTTGGTCCCTCCAGCCGCCAGCTCCCCCTCGATGTGGGCCGTGGTGTGGGCCATCAGGTGGCACAGCAGCCACTCATAGCACCTGAGCGAGACTGCAAGGAAACAAAGAATTAGTCAGCACACCCGACTAGGCGATCTTCCACTCACACTCCCAGCTGGAAAGCGGACTCTGAGCCACCAGTTGAGCGTATCTGAGACTCATGAGATGCTCCCGTCGCTCCAGGAACCTTACGCTGCCAATTGGCGTCTCCAGATCCTTGGCCGCCCACTGACGGAGCAGCCAGTTCGACGCCTGCTGGCCCAGCACGTTGTTGTCGCCCTCGTAGGTGCACAGGGGATCGTGATCGGTCCGCATCTGACCAAGCTTGGCAGCCGCCAAATAGCCGTGGCCACCGCAGGCTTCACGCGCCTCCTGAATGGCATCCCGTGCTGCCCAAGTTATGCGCGGCTTGGAGGCCGAGATCAGGGCATGAATCTCCGCAGCGTTCTGGGTCTGCAAGGAAAGCAGAGTTAAATTCGTTATTACAGCGGGCTGACTATCGTACATAGGGGATGAGGATGAGGGATAAGGGATTAAGTTACTCACCAGTATATCAAAGCCATTGGAATCCGCCTGGGAGCGGGCTATGATCTCCAGATATGTGATGGTCAGCTCTTCGACGGCAATCTTCTGCACACAGGCGGCAGCCAGGTAGGGGAATATACGGTATTGCTAAGGTCATAGAGAGGATAAACAGATGAGACACGCCTCCCAGGACACATGTAGGGCTCCACTCACGTGCAACTGGTACTCCAGGATGGCCATTTCTGCGCCCTGACGCTCCGGGCCGAACTGCTTGCGGACCGCAGCATAGCGGACGGCGATGACAGCGGCACTGCACAGGGTGTTGGCCGATTCCTGCATAATGCCGATGCGACCGGCGGAGAAGCTCTCAAGGGCGGCTCCAAGGGCCTTGCCTGGCTCTGCGAAGACGCTCTCGTAGACGCCCTCGGGAGTGACGTCGCCGGTGCGGTTGAGAAGGTTGTCGCGTGGAATGCGGTAGTTACTGAAGACCATAAAGCCGTTGTCGATGCCGTTTAGGCCGCACTTCTCGCCGATGTCGCCTACCAGGACGCCTGGATAGGAGAGAAGTGTCTTAGGATCGCGCACGGGGATGAGGAAGCCGTGCAGTCCGTGGTTCTGGCCATCGGCCGTATACAGGTTGGCGAAGGTCATGGCTACCGTAGCCGTCTTTCCTAGGTTTCCCACCCAACACTTGGCCGCCTCAAAGTCAGGCGTGTTGATCACAAACTCCTGTGTGCTCGGATCGTAGGTGGCCGTGGTACGGATGCTCTTCGTGTTGCTGCCGTGCGAGAGCTCTGTGATAGCCAGGCAGGTGATCACCTCGCGGTTCCAGGCCGCCTCGATGTACTTGGTGTGCTTCTCCGTTCCCATCGCCCGAATCGCGTTGTTGAACAGTCCCACGCCCAGAGCGATCTTCACGGAGAGACTGGGAGAGTAGCTGGCTAGTGCCTCGTTTATGTACATGAGGTACTTGGTCTTTGCGGAGAAGCTCAGGCTCTCGATCTCCCTGGGCACCAGGTCCAGCTGCTTCATGCGGTTCACCTGCATGGCGCACAGCCGCTTCTGCTCGTCCATGGGGAGCGTGCGCGAGGAATGTGCGAAGAGGGGGTCGCTCTCCAAGCGACGCCATACCTTGTACTGTATTTCAGGGGATAATGCAGGGGAATGTGCTTAGTCAGGGGTTCGCTCTGAGCGGAATCAGCGCCGCACTCACCTTGATGCGCAGTCCCTGCTCCTTCTCGAAGATCAGACGCAATCGTTTCCAGTCAAAGTTGGCCCGCTTGCGGTAGACCGATAGAGGTCCGCCCGGTGGCAGATCGGGAATAAAGCTGGTGTCCTCGTTGGCCATTCTGTGGTTTGGTTGCTGTGGTTGCTTTGTTTGCTGGAAGAAAGCGAAATCTGTCTGAGTTGAGTCGAGTTGAACTTTGGACAGCTGCCCGTTCACTGAGCAAGTGCGCCCTCACCGGCTCTACGAGCACGAGTGGCTTTAATAATTGCCCAACGCCGCTAGACATCTGTCTGTCTATCTTTCTAACTATCGACGACCCGCCCGCAAGTGGAAGCACTCCAGTCGAGCATTATCTGCAAGCGTGCAGTGGGCCGAAGCCATAGTAAGCCCCAACCTCAAGAGCAGTGTCTTTCCGTTGCAACAATTGCAAGTGCTTTCCGTTGCAACAATTGGAACGGCAATAGTCTAGGCTTTACTGGGGCTTTCCAGCAAATATGACCCTTGCGGACATTAGCCCTTTTCCGACTCCCATTCAGTCACTTTTCCTATGATATTTGGCTTTTAAGGAGAATCTTTCGGTAAAAAAGATTAGGAAATCTGCAATGTGAGCAGTAATACACCACATTGAAAGGGAACACTCAATAAATTACGGATATATATTGTTATTTATCTGTGTCACACAGTGCTGCCAGAATCTTCTAAGCTAAAATTGCTAGATTTGGGAAGAAAACTTCCTACAAAATGTTGTGAAAATTGCCAAAAAATTGCTAAACCATTAAAATTTTCATTTTCAACAAATATACATATGTATAATGGATTGTGAAACTAAAAATAATAATATTTACTCTGCATATTTGAAATGAACGTTGGGCGCGCGAACTCTTTTGAAAATTTGTTGCTATCTGTTTCATGGCGGCCAGCTTGCGTCAGGTAACATATCGATATTCTATTCGATACTACTACATCCGATTGGTAGCATATTTTTGGGCGTACGCGTAAAAGTCCAGTAGACGGTGAGCGCGAAATTCAAAGGTGTCGATGGTGCTGCCAGCACTTGGTTGTTGTTACGGCTCTATGGATTTAACTGGAACGCGGATAGGATATAATGCATATAACAACGAGTAAACAAAAGTTCAGGTTAAAAATGGAAAGAACCAGTTTTTTACATTTTTCCAAGAAAATCGATGCCCATAAAAGTGAGTTTTATGTAAGGGTTCGACTTTGCATAGTTTTATTGTATTTAGATAGGTATATAGTAGTAGTCTGTTTACCTGCTATAAAGCAATCAAGGAACAGAGCAGAGCTACAACAGAAATACCTAGTCAAACAATTTGCAGGTGCATTACTCCACCATCATCATGGCGCAACGACATAAGGAAATGATGCTCCTTTCGCGGCAAATAAAATCTAAATTCCCGCATCGCGCCTTCCGCGAAATCACCTTCGACCGGGAGGTCATCCGCGAGAGCATCAATCCACTGACATACGAAGCGGCTCGCCGCGTGAAGGGTCCGATCTACGAGGCTCTCGAGGATGAGCTGCGCTGCGCAGGTTGCCGTATGCTGCCGGAGTTCTTGCGCTGCCTGGCCACGAAGGAGCAGAGCCTCTTCGACAGCCTTAACATCCGGGAGCGAATCACCGACGACCGCCCGCTGCTCTACGCATTGATTGAAAATCTGAAGCAGGCCGAGCTGGCAGTGCTCCAGCGCAAGCTGAAGGGCCTCAAGGAGTGCTTCTCACTGTTCTACCAGACGATGGTGTTGCTGGAGCCCTACCGCCAGAAGTACAGCTACGCCCTGACCGCGGTGCTGGAGCACATTGTGGGGCTGTGCCACAACATCGACGGCCAGGAGCGGGACGCCGCCGAAATGATCGCCCGCATTTACCACACCTATGCCATGTACCTGGTCCGCCTGGGCCAGCGCACCTCAGCGATCAGCTACTTCCAGATCGCCATGAATCTTGTGCGGGGCCACGTGTGGACCGCCCAGGTGGACATGCGCGCCGGCAGTCAGACGCTCCACGAGCTGGTGGCACAGGACCTGGCGCGCCAGCTCCTCATCCACGGCAAGCAGATTGTTCGCCAGCAGCCGCAGGAGGCCATAGCCATAGCCCGCAAGGCCACAGTCCTCATTGCGGAAAGTAAGTTGTTCTGCGACCCTGGTCCGTGACTATCCCCACCCCCATCCCATCCCAACCCGTTTAGTTGGCAGGGAAAAGAACCTGGACATCTTCTGCGACACCTTCCTGGAGCGGGCCTTCTTTCTGATGGAGAGCGGCAACTACAACGCCGCCCAGCAGTGCCTGGAGCAGATCAGACCCCAGATCATAGCCTGCACAGACTACAAGTTCGTCAAGCTGAACATCAAGTACTACCTCTTCCACGGACAGTGCGCCGAGATGTGAGTAAATCACTCCAAAGTGGGCTGTGACGATTTCTCGCCTCTATTCAGATTCGAGAACCCGGACAAGGCCATATCCAGCTACAAGAAAGCTCTCCGTCTATCCCGCCTGTACTCACACAAGGACACTGAGGCTGAGATCCTGCTCTACCTGGGCAAAATATTCGCCAAGGACACGCAGAAGACGAGCATTGCCAAAAAGTGCTACGAGCAGGCCAGGCGCATCTACGTCGACTTCAACGACGTCCACAGCCTGAAGATGGCAAACTACCTTCTGGCCAAGCTGATGGCCGACGAGATCACTCCCCTGTACATGGCCATGCTCAAGTCCTCCACCTCGCAGTACTGCGCCTTCTTCAACCTGCGCCAATGGAAGAACCGCTGCCGTCCTTTCTGGAAGAAGCTCGGGGGCGAGATCATCAAGCAGGAGACCGACGACATCTACTGCCTGCTCGACGAGGAAAAGGAGGATCCCGCCAGCGACAGCTCCTACACCGGCCTGGACCGCAAGGTCTTCAAGGTGGAAGAGGGCGATGTGTGAGCTCCCCTACTCTCTTCGACTTCTCTGACATGACATGAAAATTCTATTTGTTATTGGTTTTTCCTAAGCGTAATGATTAAAGGCTTCGGCAATCATTCGCGGGGCTGCTGTTTTTCACGGCCTGAGCAGACGGCTAGCCATGGAATGTTCTAGGGGCTTCCCACTGAAGTGCCTTCAATTGGGGTCGTAAATGTTGAATGTATCGAAGCTAATCAAGGCGATGATTGAATATTCCCCACATCCGCATATCATATTTTTATTAACTGAAAAACAACGGCTTTGAAGTGCTTTTATGTACTGATAATGCACGGCTGCATGCTTTGATAATGCCACAATTTTAACTAATCGATCTGGATCAGGATATTTATATAGATGTGCATTCACTCCGTCAGTGGGCTGCAAACTTCTGGCCAAAACTGTATAACTCTGTGCAAAGTCTAAAAACATTGAGGGTCAAGGCCAGATAGGGGGGGAAATCGATGGAGAGACCGAAACTGCTCAGCGAAATTGATAAGATGGGCCTCTGTATGGGATTGGTGGATAGCTGGTCCCGAAGCAATCTCAGCTGTAAGAATCGTCAAGTGAGTTTGTAAGGTATTCCAGAAGCGGATTCCAAGAAACGGGCTAAATAGTATGATAAGGCGCGTGAGATAAGTGAGTGCAAAGAAGTGTGCAAAAATAGTACTATGATCACAGTTTGCCGAGCCAATCTTATAATTTTTCCTTTAACTTACTCTTACGGGCTCAATCTTTGTACTTTGACAATATGGCAATAAAAATATGTCTGTTGTACACACAAACTTACACACAAAGAATTGGGCGAGAATAGCTTGGCGACAGATCAGGCAGGGTATGACGCTCCTAAAAATATGAAAAATCTAGTTTGGGGGACCGACTCACCAGCTGGGTGGAACAAAAGCCAACCGATTGATCGACAATTAGCCGTAATTATGCCAATTATGATATGCAACACTAACAGATATGATATGGCCCAATGAATGGGGACGGGCACTCGCTCGGAGCTAAGCCATGGCCGTGATAACAGCACATTGTCTAGGTTCGGGCCCCGAGCGAGAAGACTGTCAAGTAACCATCCATAAGTCGTTAAGGTTTATGGGTTTCTGGGAATGTTTACTGGTTCATTTAAATTTCTCGACGCGGTTCGTAATCTCAGATATGCACTCGGGGACCGGCAACGCGCAGTCTTGAGTACATTGGAAAGACGCTCGAATCACTCGAGTCGCTCGATTGTTTGCCTTTACCCGATGCGATGGGGAGTCATGGCGGAAATATTTTCCAGCAAACTCGGATTGGTTTTTGAATTAATTGAAATAGAAAACCCAAGATAGGGGCGGGAATTGGTACAAACGAGAAGCAAGCAAATAAATATGTAAACAACAACGAAAGCTCTGGAGCTGAGCGAGCACTTTGTAGAGTCTGAAATGGTTACTTCTCCACCAAGGGCGATTCGATCGTTGCTTGCAAACATCTGCAGAAAGAACCGAAAATAACTGATAAGCTCCGGAAAGCGTTGCTCTCGGCAGCCCCCAGACCCCAACTACCAGCTAAACTGCTGCCTTACGTGACACTCTGGGAGGAGGGGCCCCGGCCACGGGCCACGGGAAACTCTGACATGCGCGACTCTAAAGCGCCGGCCAGGTGGAGATTGCATGTAAAATAATGAACAAAATAGTGTACACCAGACCTCGGACCCCTTCCGCTGGCCCACTTGAGGAGCGAAGCTGTTGCGTGCCGTTGGAAATTGTCACAAATCGTTGGACCCTCCCCTCCCCTCCTGGGGAGGGGTGGAGGGGGTGGCCATTAGCCTTGAACATGAAAATAAGTGAAAAACTTATTTTTACTCGTTCGCCCCGTTAATTGAGAGGCGGGACCCGACTCCGAGTGCGAGTCCGAGTCCGAGTCCGAACCCGAACTCGAACCCGAAACGAACGCTGAAGGCCCGTTAAACGAATTATAATGCAATTTGGCGTCCAACTGGCGACAATAACTACTGCACTGCTAATTTCACTTTTATTTACACACCACACCGCTGACAAATTAGCACACAATCACCACCCTCTCACACAGATTCAGATACAGATACAGATATGGGGAGAGGAGCAGGGCCATCTATTGGGAGCACAATACACCCAATTGCCAATTGCCGTCGCTGCTCCCCATTGTCCAGCAATGATTCAGGGCTTGGCCAGACCAGACCAGGTCAGGTGTAGTGATATCATGAGGACAACGATGACTACTACATGTTTGGTTAAGGACTCGGATTATCAAGGGCTCCTATTCCTACTGCTATTACATCACTGCGAAAACAACAAGTAGGTAGCAAACGAAACGCCTTGGCGAGCAGTAAGAGCAACAGAGAGAGAGTGTGGGAGAGGGAGAGAGGCTGAGGAAAATATTCCCAATAATCGCACAGATGTGTCTGTGAGTATCTGTGTTTATTCTTTTAGGCCTGAGGAGTACAGGTCACACCAACACCAACACACACACACACACACACACACACACACACACACAAGCACAAACACTACCACTACCACCAACCTGTAGCGCTTCTTCTTCTTCCGGAGTCACTTGATGCTGGCTGCCCGCTCTTTTCCGATGGAGCTGTCTCTGCCGGCACCGGCTGAGCTCACGACACACTGGGCTGGCTGGCTGACGGCTAATTAAACAAACGATGCGACGTCGAGTACGCACGTTCGTACGAGCTCACAGAACACGCCCACGCGGAATTAAAAAAGGCACAAAAATAACTAAAATACAACTAGAAGGCGGCACACGACCGACGGACGACGAGCGATGGGCGAAGAGTGACGCTGGAAACTGGCAACCGACCCGGACGATGGATTCTTTCCGAATGACTGCTGATTCATAACAAACGGACGTGCTGGGAACCCTACAGCGCTACAGCGTTTTATAGGGGCGCACCTCACGCACACATGCTCGTGGGGAACCACGCTTCATTCTGCCCCAATGTCAAGTGGCTGGTGCGAGAGCGAGAGCGAGGCGGCAAACAAACCGGCCGGCGTCGAGCAGCGTCAGTGTGTGTGAGTTAACGTGCAAAGATACAGATACAAAGATACACAAAACCACAGAGCTGAACCGACGTGCTGAGCATGCAGGGGATTCATGAAACTGATTATGGTTAAATTTAGATTTGTTTCGTGGGTCAGGTGCTCCACGCACAGGGTTGCACCCGGCTCTATTTAAGTATAATCTAAATAGACCCAAAGAGTGATTTCATGCAGAAAAGTTAATGGTTTGGCGTGTCGGACGTGTGCGCTTCAAATATACTATATTATTATTTGTTGTCGCAGAACACAGAACAGTCCCTTTCATTGGGATGCAGTATCCACACATATGTACACACAAAAAAACTCATAGAGCAGTAAAGCCCTTAAATGGTGGATTAGTTTATGGACTTCTCTTGCAGAACAAAGTTCGTTTGGCCTAATCTCCATGCCATTTATAAGAATGATGTCGGTTCGCTTATGGGAAATTTGTTCAGGGGATTCGCATTAGCAAAACACCGCTGTTACAGAAATCCGGCATTAACTTTTCGGGTGTACTCGTAGTTTGATGCCCGTTTGGCCGGATACAACCAACAACCTGAAAACTGCTTTGTTCGGATATGTTCATTGCATTCGGTTACTTTTATTCTTCTACTAGTGCATAAATTAAATTTAACAGCAAGTTCTGAGAGTTGAGTCTGTGGTTTGTTGGTGGGGTGATGGGGCGTAGCTGTGCCTCCTTAATCCTCCGACACTTTCCTTTCCCCTCTCTGCTCTCCGTAGCTCCCGCATTATAGTGACGGCGATATGTAATTGCATATGTGTGGAAAATCATTAGATTATTTAACTTATATGATATATGGAAGAGACGGAAGAAAGTCTGCGGGTACTATACAACGGACTCTAAAAAGATTTTCCGATAGGTAGAGATTATGTCGCATGGACCGTCCAGGGACTTTCTAAGGTAAGATCCAGGACTAGCCGCTTGACTTAGCTTTTTAAACACTTCTGGAATTGAGTATTCCTCTCTTTCCCGAGCAGTCGATCGGCATATCGCGAAGGCAATCGAGATCGAGATCGAGAAAGCTCCATGATGATGTCCTGTTTCAGGAAAAGAAACCACTATGATCCCAACTAGAGATGTGGAAGTGAGCAAATAAAATAGACCGAGACTTTCTTAGTTTTCTCATTTGTTTATTATCATTCTGTGGTCATTCTGTATGTTTGTTGAAAGAGTAGAAATATCTAAGTGACCGACATAATTGATTGGGATTAGTGTCCGCGCTAATTGATCACGATTGCAGGGCGATTCCATCGTTTCGTCCCTCCATCTCGGTCTGCGTTAATTAAATTACTAATTTGACTCGGTTATACAAAGCACTTCTAGATGCACTGCAAGTTTGTGTGTGGGTAGTGCGTGGGTTGGGTTGGGTTTGGGTTGGGTGTGGGTCGGGGTCGGGGTCGTAAATCGTATAAAAACAGTATTATGTGTGTATATCCATAGCTATTGTATAGTTTGGCAGCTGCGGTCCGACCGACTATCAACCGAATATCTTATCGAAACAGACATGGCAGTAGGGCTTGTCCTTCTGCTCCTTGAACGTGCCCTTGTTCAGCTGCTTGAGGCAGAAGGCGCAGACGAAGTGCTCCGGGTGGAACTTCTTGAACATGGCCGTGATGCAGCGTCCGGTGATGGGCTTCGAGCAGCCGGCGCAGAGCGATCCCCTCTTGGCGTGGTAGTGCGTCTCGCAGTAGGGCAGGCCCTCGTGGTCGAAGAACGATCCGCCCTGGAAGGGTTGCCGACAGTCCTGCAAGAGAATGCAAGCAAATTTCAGTAAGTCTTCCGCTTCGGACAAATTGAAATGGTTACTGCGTCATAAAAACGAAACTACAATCTAATGGCACTTGATGAGATGAGAGGATGAGCACATGAGGATTATGATGGGGTTGGGCGAGAAGGAGAGCCTTTTTGGATGATCTATTGTGGGCCAAGTGGCGGTGCAGCCGCCGTGCGAGGCTAATTACGACCATAAATTAGTTGGCATAATGCATGACCGACCACCACCAGCAAACCGATCGAGCTGTACATATAATATTTTCGGCACTTTTTACGCCTGGCATGAAAAACCTAATTACAATTTATTCAGACAAGAAATGTGCCAAAGTAAAATATTCTCGAATGGACAGCACTCGTACCCAGCCTGGCTCCTGCCCTGCCCCTGGCCCTGGCACCACTGTCCCCAGTGGATGGCTAATTGGCAACACAAAAGTGAACAGAACGAGAAAACAAGACAGCATGAACTTTAAATATGATAAATATACAAATCTCATACACACATAGTATGGGATCTCTGAGTCCGGCATTTGTTTAATTTTCTTTGGCTTTTGGAAAAACATTTCAGCAACAGCAACAACAACAGGAGTCTTAAGACAATAACATTTTGCGCACGCTTTTGGCCAACTTCCAAAGAAAAAGAAATGGGAAGAGTGAGAACAAAAGAACCTGTTCTTTTGTCGGCCGAGTCCGATTCAGCCGGATGGATGGGAGGGCATTGGAGAGCGCTTCGGTAGCTATTTTCGGGTTCCACTGCCCTCTCCCTCTCTCTCTCTCTCTCTCTACAATCAATCAAATTTCCATAAACAACAGGTGCAACAGTTTCCTTTGAGGCATCTCATAAAAGTGCTCTGTGGATTATTCGAAAGTGGGCCACAGAGCGAAACAAACAATCAATACCGAATACACCGAATATACAGCAGAAATATACCAAAGTGTGGGAGAGTCAATGGGGGATTTCTACAATATGATATCTGTGATATCCTAACGATTGCACTTCTGAATGGCTATTTTTGGAAAATATTTTGAGAATCTTTTGCACTCCAGCGGCCAAGAATGGACGAATCCGTCCGATTTTAGTCTGGCCAATCAATTCGATCAACACCCCGAGATCCCCATTATATCGGGGCCATAAGCAGTGCGAATCCCATCGCCTACACTTATAGTAGACAGGGATGGGGTCTCGGATGGGATGGGATCCGGCCGAGGGCCGAGCACCAGAGGCTAGAGCGTATGATTCTCGGAACGATACTCGTACGTAAGCAGCGAAAATAGTTTCCACAAGTAATTTATTCCCCCGGGCTTCCGCTGGGAGGTCGAGATCGCTGACCAGAAGATCCAAATCTACGAATATATAGTACATATACGGCATACAATATTGTAATTTGTTTAACAAGAGCAGCAGAGCAACAGAGCAACAACTGAGGCGACAAGCGACAGACGACAGACGACTGGCAGACACACATGTCAAGGTCAGCACACGCTGACCCTGACCTTGGCACGAAGTCCGTCCGCCTGTCGTCTGTCGTCTGTGGGGGAGGAGGAAGGTGGGCGTCGAAGCCTCCGCCTTGAAAAACAGAAAAGGCTTTTCCACTTTTCCCTGCTCTCCCCTTTTAACCACTCTTTGGTGTTGTTTCTGTGCCTTTTTTATGTTTTAATATGTAATTATTTAAATTTTATTTACAAAAACAAATTACAATATTGTTGCTCATCTTCATAAACGATTAAATTTAAAAAGTACCTAAAGACTTAAGCCTACCAAAGTTTCATAGAAAAGTTCAACAAGTCAAGAGGGGGACAGGGTCAGGGGCAATCAGAGACCATCATGGAGGGTGGCTACTGTATCCATGTGTATACGTTCCTCCAGCGGCACCTGCTGTGGCAGCGGGCCAGCTTGGAGATGGATACAGATACAGATAAGGGCAGGTAAGGGCTTGCTCGGTCGCAGTTGGTTCTTGCATGCTGGATGTTGCCAATACTGCGGTGCTGTGGTGCTGTGGTGCTGCGGTGCTGTGGTTCTGGTTGTGGTTGCAGTTGCTCCTAGACCCGCAACCCGAAAATAGCCAGAGACGGACGGCGGGCAGCTGCTGCCCCAGCGGGGATGGTGGTGATAGTAAAAAGCGAGCGGCCACAAAAAGTGGCACGCAGCTCGCGCATACTCGTACAAAAATGTGTCTGACTGTATCGTATCTGTATCTGGCTCTGGGTCTATTTTTGTTGGCTGCTGAACTTCATCAACAGTATCTTGCTTCTTGCTTCTTGTTGATGTGTGTGTGCGTGTGTGTATCTGGCTCCCTATTCCTCCTCATCCACGCCCACGCACTGTGGACACACGGGCTTGCCCTCCATGGCATAGAAGGACTTGCCGCGCACAGCCTTCTTGCAGTCCTGGATAATGGATAATGGATGCATGACGGATGACGGATGATCGTGCGAATGCGGAATAATTACATTAATATGTTCTCGTAAATATGTGGACATCTTGATATAGACATCAAGGGTTTATGACTGCAGCACTTACCCGGCAGACAAAGCAGTCCGGATGCCACTGCGAGTTCAGGGCGGAGATGTAGTTCTCCATGATGGCCCGGTTGCAGCCGTTGCACTTGGGGGCAAACATCTCGAAGTAGTCGTTGCGGCAGTAGGGCTTGCCGTCGCGCTCGTGGAAGCCCTCCTCGCCGAACTGCTGGCCACACTGGGCGCAGAAGAAGTGCTCCGTGTGCCAGGTCTTGTCCAGGGCGGTGACGCACTTGTCCAGGATGGCGCCGTTGCAGTAGGCGCAGCGCGGGCTGAACAGGTTGTGGTAGTCCGTCTCGCAGTAGGGGAAGCCGTCGCGCTCGAAGAAGTTGCGGGTGCCCAGCTCCTGGCTGCAGTGGTTGCACGTGAAGTGCTCCGGGTGCCAGGTCTTGCCCAGGGCGGTGATCACCTGGCCGACGATCGGCTTCTCGCACGCGTTGCAGCAGCCCTTCTGCACTGTGTT